TCAAAACACAGGTTTACATTACTGCAAAGACAGTGTTTTTGTTTACCTTTCAGAGCACAGTCTTGAATTTCTTCTCATCTTGGGGAAGTGCACAGGAAATGATGCAGGGGAACAGCGGCATAGTTCAAGCACATCCTGACAGTGAGCAGGTCTGTAAATAAAGATGTTTATGGACAGGATCCTTGTAAAAGATCGGTTTCACCTACGCTTCCCAAATGCTGCAAGGAGATGTATCTTTTGCATGCCATGCAGGTCATGTTCTTAATAAAAGCACAATTTTTCTTCTAAGTTGTGAAGCTCTCCTCCTCCAAGCAGACTTTTTCCCTTCTTCCAACAACCACCTTTGTCCAGGTTTGTGAGGTCCCTGTGCCACAGAGGGCTTTTGCTCCTGGAGCAGTTCTTACTGGCTCCAAGTTAGACTTCAGTTTTGGTTTTGTCCTTCTCCTGTGGTGATCTTTCTCCTTACAAGGTAGCTATTTGGGGAAGCCATTCAACACTGAGCTTTGCAAGTGAAGGTCAGCAAACAGTTGTTAAGAGAGCTGCAGTGAGAGTTCCTTAGCATGGTTCATTGATGTGGGACTCGACCAACCTTTAGGGGTGTACAGAGCTGATCACATCCCAGTTCTCTGACATAACAGGTACTGCACACCATGTCAACAATCATTCTTTTTGAGTCTAGGTGATCACTGATATGTTCTTTTAAGTGAGATTCATAGATGCTGATTACATTTACTGCATAAATTACTTCATTATTAAAATCAGGTCATTTGAGCCCCAAAACCATTAACATGCAAACTATTAGCATAATTTCATAAGCTAATAAATCAAGCACAGGAAAAGAATTAAGCGGTTCTTAGTGATAAGTGTTTCTTCAGAGATTAAGAAACACAATTTTCTTATGCATATATTAACATTTTAAAAGTGAATTCATGCAAAAGCAATTTTTCTGCATATATAAAACTTATGTTTAATAATCATTATGCTTAGCCTCCAGAGCTGTTTCAGAATTCATGTTTTTCTCAAATCACTGTACAGTAATTTGACGTTGAACCAGTTAGCCTGTTCTGATATACTCTACCTGTAAAATTCTTAATGCCTTTATTAAACAGTCAAAGTTAAGAAATAAAACAAGCCAAGATATGATTTAGAAGAAAAATAGCTTGGTTTTGTCTTAGATAATGAAATATTCATCCAAAGTAAATTTTATATTCTTAATCTTAAGCAGTACCAATGAAATTGTAGTTATCTCTGTAATTGTAATCTAGAACTGCAGTTGTTGTTTTATTAAAATGGTGCTTTAAAATTGATTTAATTCCCATTTCTTATGTAATAGACTGTAATATTGGCCAGAATAATGTAGAGATAGGCTCTTCTATTTACTTCACTGACTAGATTTAAAATAATACAGTAATACAACTGTAATTATCTGGATACACTAGAGTTGCATGGAAACAAAGCAAATTCCAATGTAAATGAGACGTAATAAGCAACAAATGACAATGCCCAGAATTTTTGCTATGTTACCAGATTTATGCTGCCCTGATTTTATTTGCCCATTCCTGACCTACTGTTTGAGTTTGTTTAGAATATTTCTTTTTTCAGTCTGAGGCACCTAGTGATTTGTTTGAAGGAATAAAAGATTATGATGTTTTCAGAACAGTGCTCACAATACCGAGTATTCTGGGTCTCTTGGTTCCTACAGCAATACCACAGCCCATTTCTTTTCCAGCCCACACATGAAAAAATGTTCAGATAGCTTTTAGTAATTGCTCATGCATACTGCTATTTAATGACCGACTTGGCTAAGATGGTACCAGACTGAGAGGGCTGCCTGTTTGGGTAGGGTTCATTTGTTGCTGTCTAGCTCCCTGAACCAGTTCACCGTGGGACTAGGCAAGTACCCGAGTTGGCGCAAGGGAGGTAGTGACAACATGCACGAGGGGAAATGTGGGGATGCCCCTATTAATGGCAGTTGGTTGTTATATCAGCTTAACTGCAATTTGAAGCTGCAGAAGAAGGAGAGGACTGTCCCGAGTGGAGTGGGAATGGTCCCACTCCACACTGGTAGCATGACAGTTGGCAGACAGCAAACTTGTGAGAAGCAACGCAAAAGGAACATCCTGTGGTTATGCTGGTGAAGGCTGCATAGCTCATGTGGCGGATGAGGTGGACTTGTGACTCGGAAGATCAAGTCTAAATAATATAAGTAAAGCAGCTGCAGAGTGCTGTTGATGTGCAATTTTCCACAGTTCTTGTTCTGCACTCCTTCTTCTCCTTGCACACATCAGCAAGTAGAATGATGTTGCAAATCTCCCGAATTATTAGTGTTCTCCTTACCTTTCCCTCGCTGGAGGATTCAGTGTCTCATTGCTCAGTTATGATCTGTTTTATATTCTTCTTTTTGAAATAGATACTGAATTACCGCTGCTCCTGGCATATCTTTAACTTGTTTGGAGGCTCTGCACACCACTGTATACATAAATCATCAGTATCTGTTGAGGGTTCTCCTGGACTATGTTTCAAATATGTGTTCAGAAGGGCTTATCAAAGCTCCATTCAATGTCATAAACTCATTTTTCAATGTTTGTGTAACTAATTACACAGAGGAGATGATGTATCTAGCACAGGGCAGGTGACAACACCCGTGTGAAATGGTATTTATGAGAATTTTCTAATCGAAATGTGAGTAATTGCAGTAGAATGGTTATGGAGTCTTTGGCAGTGTTGCTTTTTGTATTGCTGAAGCTGAATATTAATAAGGAAATTTGAAATCTCGTCTGGACAAATTGGCATTGTTTGGGAGTTTTTATAACAAAACAGTCCCATTTGAAGTCAAACAGAGGCTACTATGTAAATGCAAAATCTGACTTGATTGCTTTGTTCATAGATAGTAGAATCCCATTGAAGTCAAAGGAAGATTACTCATCTGAATAAAATTACTAGGTCAGGTTTTGCATTGGCATGAATGAATGTGTTTAAAAAAAAAAAGATGAACTTCCAGTATTTTGCAATTATTATTCCCTGACAAACAATGATATCTTGTCTTTTAAAAAGCTAATTAACCTTTTTAATGTGAAATGTCCAACATGAAGTACTTGACATAGCCAGGCAGTATCCTAATCTTCAGTAGTCCGTGAGGAAAAAGGTTTCTCCGGCAGCGTTCTGTGCACCTAACCAGGCTTCTGCTCTGATTGTGTCTGGGAGGAACCTATTTCTCTGCATTCGCTGTAGAGGGAAACAGAGGAGACTTTCAGCAGGCAAAGCTAAGGCACCTCTGCCTGAGTTGGTTGACTGCTCCCCAAGAGCAAAGAAAGAAACATATGTGAATCACAGTTTGTGTTTCCTTGGTCTTTTTCACAGTTGTTGTTCATACTGTCATCTTTTCTCTTTCAACATATGCATCTGCTTTCTCTGTAAACTGTGACCCCTGATGAAGGTAAATTCAGCTTGGAAGTAATTTCTGATATCAACCACTTTCTGGTATACCTGTTTCTCAGGGCTCATTAAGCAGTGGAAAATGATATTTTAAAAAGCGGTCTTTGCATGATGGCTCATTCACTACATTAAATAATTATTCATTACTAATTTGACCACTTCTCAGTTACCGCTAGAACATTATACAATCTTTCCTACTCATGTAGGATGGATCATGTAGATACAAGTGAACTGTGTTGTCTGTGCTGGCAATTACAGTGCACAACAGTGGCAGCAGGACAAACAAAAGTTCAGCTATATGAGAAGTTCAGATAATATGAAAAAAACTGCTTCATGTGAAAGCTCATATAGGGCTGCACTTTACATACTTAGTTCAAAGCCGGGAAGGCCAGGAAGAGTGGTGCTGAGGTATTCAACCGTAGATGTCCTCAATTTCTTCCCATACAACTCAATGCCGCTGCGCTTACCAGGAACCTCTGTAACCCCACCCAGGAAACGGGCCTGTCCTCAGTGGCCAGTTTGCAAACTCTGCTAGCAGAAGGGAGAAAGACTGTCATCAAGCTCCTTACTCCCTAGCTTCCCTGCAAGCTCACGGGAAGGAGTATTCTCTTGCATTTGGGGAAGAGCACTAGGAAATCAGCATGCCTGCTTTGGGGTACTTTCCACCCTAATCAGACCACCACCACCCTTCCTCCTTCTTCCCTACAAATCCAAAATACTTATGGAAATCCTGAGCTAGTGCAAGTTTCCTTCCAGGACAATGATAGTGTCACCAGAATCTTTCCGTTGACAAGAGTAGCTGCTGGGTTGTTTTTTTTTTCCTCCAAAGATCTCTGTCTACAACACAAAATGAATGCTATTTCGTTTTCCTCCAGCACACAAAATTCTGAGGAGTAGGGAACACTGTGATAAGAAGCAATGCTATACTGCTTCCCTAGGAATGTTCAAAAGGAGACCCGTCTTTCAGAATGAAAATTGCAATTTGCCTGGTTTTAAGATTATTATTCTCCTGGTTAACCACTGCATATAGCACTTTAGTTAGAAGTGAATATCTCTAGAGGGTTAAGATAGAAACCAGACTGTGCATCAGAGGTTCTTCAAGGGAAGAAGGCATTTCCAAAGGCCTTTGGGACCTTCATGGAAACCTCTGCGGCCACTAGAATAGCTTGCTTTGTTACTGAATTTGCTTTTTATTAAAGTAGCTGCTCAGCTTGACCGTTGCTTCATTTCTGAATTGGCAAGTTTCCTGAAGAGCAAAACAGGTGTGTAATACCTTTTCCTTTAATAAAATATCTACAAACACCAATATCTGTAAAAGTGTCTGATTGTTGAGGAGCAAAGCTTTTGTGCCAGAGAAGAGTTTAAGAAAAATAGGGTTAACGCAGTACTCTTGCTTTGTCATAGATCCTATGCTGCAGAATTGAAACTGCAATACAGAAGTTGATTTTGGAGTTCAGGTGAGTAATTGTTGCTCTAATGAAGATCTCTGATGTGAAGTAAGAGGCCTTGGATTATCAAAATCTGTTCCTCGTGCATTGCGTTAATCCTATTTTCATTATTAGGAATTTATGCACTTCTATCCCAAGCTGCTCAAAAAGTGTTACATGCACACCTTTGAGGAGTAAGAACCTATTTACACCAACGGTTCTCACCTAGTTACAAATCAAGACTTGCAAATCTTCTCCATGTTCTTATGTAACCTTAAACAGGGGCTTAAATCGCGTGATATTTGAAAAACCATGAGACCAAGAACATGAAATGTTAAGGCCTATTTTATTTGAATGGAATTCAGAAGTTAGCTCAAGAACTTGAAAAATTCCATAATTTAATTCTGTAAATACATGCAAAACAGTGGGATTAAATGTTTTTAATGTATCATAATAATCTATCTGTGCTTTGTTTGCTGTTCTGTGACCCACTCACTGTGACAGGTAGAAAATCGTGTGACTTTTCATTACAGATGATCGGTGGTTCCAGGTTCTTTCTCGAGAAAATTTCTGTTCAGATATTAATAAAATTAAAGGATTTTAAGGCAAACTGTAGGGGGCGGACAGAAGTGCTACAGTAAGGCCAGAAACTGAGTCCACAGGAATTAGCTCAATGGCTGTAATGTATTTCATATAGAAGACTGGCAATATTGGCTGGTCATCAGGGAGTGCCAAAGACGATGCAAAGGTGAAGGTGGGACCACGCTACCTGTGGCAAGGAGGGCAGCTGGGTTGTCAGCTGGCAGGTAAATCCCCACAGGGTAACGTGGATCTGCAGCCTTGTATGTGCAGATACTTCATGGTTTTCCACATCCAGCTTTGGTATGCACTGCTGAAAATAGGAACTTTGTGTTATCTGTAGAGAAACCTATTTATCTGCATGGGGTATCAGCTTTGAATGATTTAATGCATAAATGAAAATGTAAGATCTTCAAGTCTGTGTATTATCATAACAGAGAAAGTCTTATCTCGTACTACAGGCAAGTATTACTGCAACACAGAAATCTGAAAGATAGGAAATCTGAAGATACAGTGACAAGGCATATTATAACTGACGTGCATGTGCTTCTATGCTTTTGATCACATAGATTTTGTTAAAGTGGACCAATATAAGCCAAATTCACAAGACATTAACCAGTAAGACATGTATTTTCTTTTTTCTTTAAGTAAGTCTTGCATGTGGAGAACTGCAGCACTGAACTTGAAACCAGCCAGGAAAAGTAAAGCAAATCTAGTCAGGGATGTGAATTCAGCTTCCATAAATTAAAGTGCATTAAACCACCTTTGTGTGGTTTAGTTCCTTAGCTGCAGAGCAGCTGTAGACTTGCCTAAGCAGTGAGCTCACTTCTTGTCATTGATTGCTCTTAAATTTCATGAATTTTAGACAAATCCCAAGATGAGATAACAAAGGTTCAAATGTGTGTCCGTTCTAATTTGACATAGTCAAGAGAAGAGGAGAATTTCTTAACCAGTGACTTGCCTGGGTATGGTTTGAAAGTATATGACCGAAGTACACTTTCAGTATACTGAAGTAAGGACTCCTGCTGCAATAGATTAAACTTCTAGCAGCAGTGGCACTTCCCTAAAGTATACCCCTCCATCTTGGGACCTGTATTCAATGTGGAAACCATGGACAAATCAGGGAAGATACTTACTAAAGTGCTTCCAAATTAATTAAATGTATTTATTAATATTTTATTAATATCTAGTGAAATATTAGCCTTGAGAAGAGAAGGCTTGGGGGGATCTTATCCATGTGTACAAATACTTGATGGGAGGCAATACTCTTCTCAGTGGTGCCCAATGACAGGCCAAGACGCAATGGGCACAGACTGAACCACAGGAAATGCCATTTAAACATAAGATGAAACTGAATTTCTGCGAGACTGGTCAACTACTGGAACAGGTTGCCCAGAGAGGTTGTGAAGTCTCCATCCTTGAAGATATTCCAAACCCAACTGAACACAGCCCTGAGCAACCTCCTGTAGGTGACCCTGCTGTGAACAGGGGGTTGGACTAGGTAGTCTCCAGAGTTGCCCACCAGTCTCAGTGATTCTGTGATTCTGTGTAAAGAGGATGTGGTTAGTAATCTGTTAATGAAGAGATAGGAGCACAATTTCAATCAATAAAATTTCCTCTCCTGTCCTCTCCTATTTACAGAACTAAATTCATTAAGAGGGATTTTGTCATTGAATTATCTTTTCTGTAATACAGTGAAAAGGATGGTTCAAATGCAAGGAGTCCTTTTGAATAGCAATGGGAAATTCAAATGTTATGCCTGAAAATTATTTTTAGAATTCAGGTACTAAAAGAGTTGTCAGTGATCTAGAAGCTGATTTTATTTTTGGTCTACAAGAAACTTTCTCTCCAGATCTTTGCTAATTTTTCATTTTGGATGATTTATGACATATTCATTTTAACAATACTTTATGCCATTTTTTTTCGCCTTGCTGGTTCCAGTATGCTGGAATATGTTAAAAAGTGAATTTAACCATAACTGACGTCAGCATTTCCGGTAGCCTTAGCATTTTGCCCAAACTGACTTGTTTGACATCTCTGTTCAAATGTACTGAATTTACCTTCTTGCTAAATAATCCAGATGTTCCACAGCAGTTTAAGAAGAGCTGTATCCATTTAATGGAAGTGTGCAAAGATCCAGAACACTAGAAACCGGGAGAACTTCTCCTAATTTTATCCACTGTCCATATATATCCCTGTTCATTAGTGTATAGGCCTTCCCTCCCACCCAGCTGCCACCACACAGATGGCATTCCTAGCGAAACAGTTCAGAATCACTGCATTATTTGTTGTCTGGAAGCGTTAACAGACGACTAGGAAAGCGGAGGAAGAGGAGGACTAGCATTATGTTTTTTCAGGTCAAGTCCTGCCCTGAATTCTACCCCATCGTCTCCCAGAGGTCCTAGGGATTACGGGTGGGGAAGTGAGTGCGAAAGAATTCGATACTGTGCATATAATAACCTTTAATACATTCTGAGGCTTAATGGACTTAAATTTCCATGTTATGAAGTTATTTAGTTCTAACCCTTTAACAGCTTTAATTTATTAAAGGGCTGAAAATTTTGGTTTTGTTTGCCTTAGAAACCAAGTGAAAACAATGGGGATGAAGCAGGCATGGCTGCAAAGTTGTTACTATTAAACACAGCCTCAAAACGGAATGTTTGTGGTGCCTACAAACAGATGTCTAATGACAAGGAAACAAAACAATTATTCTTAAGTAGAGATTTGCTGCTGGTTATTTTTAAATGTCTTTCATTCGGCCTTTTTGTACTAGTCATTTCTATATGCTTTTATCATTGTATGTTGGACCCAGTGTTTTCTGAGAAAAGTAAGTCTGCCTGGGATTTGGTACAAGGAAAGAGGAAGGCAGAGACATGAAAACTTTTCCTACTAACGGGTAATACAGTCACAGGTGCCCAGCATTTGCCTATATTACTTCAGTTTTCAGCTCCCTGTAACTTTGCTAAACTTTCATTTTGGGGGCTGAAAGCTCCCAGACTAGTGTGTGCCTCAGAGTGAAAATATCTTTTGAAGTTTCAGCTGAAATGATTTTACTGAACAAGGCCAAGGGGGAAAAAAAGGTTGCTGGTTTTGGCATCTTAAAAGCTTTTCTGCAACTGTTTTCTTGGGAAGCTGTAGTACCTCTTGTGTGTTGCAACAATGATTTGATATTGGTACATCTGACAGCAGGGATTTTTTTGGCTGTCTTGTGAAAATACATTCAAAATACCACTCAGAATGCAAGTTTCTGAAAATATCAGTTTATAAACACACTGCAGAGCTTTTGCTTCCCAGCTGTAGTGGAGGGGGTCACTGAAGCACTGAATCCGAGAGAAGAGACAGATGTCCTTTTCAGTGACTCTAGCAAGAGCACTTTGAGCAGGTATTGCCCCATCTGCTTGTTTCTGTTCCCAGGTCTCAGATGTCATAGCTGGTTGTCTGAGTGCTCTAACTCTGTTTCAGCGCAAATTCAGGGAGGCAGTGCCATTCAGTGCCAATGCCAGCTTAACAGCCCCCAGCTGCTCATTCCCAGCCTATGCCCTCCTTCAGTTGTCCTTGCACAATTTTCTGTGGAGCTATATGACAAACTAGATCAGAACAAAAAAAAAAATCTTTTTTTTTGTTACAATCGGTTCAATGCAGGGATGACTGCAGCTAGATTCACTAGAGGGCAATTGTCTGTGCCTTGAGATCAGGGAGACTCTCTTTTCCGTGCACCAATGTTTCCCTCTTGTTTTTTATGTGCAGGTATCATAAGGAGACCAAAGTAAGTTTGCATTCATCTTCCGGTTAAGACAGCTACCAGCAACGGAGGCAACTGAGGGCTGGTGTTCCCTCTGGCAGGTGGGAACCGTCCCCTGACCTGCTGCAAAATTTCATAAAGCTTCTCTGGCAGAGCCCTTTGCATTTTACACCTGCTATAAAAAGTCAGAGAGCTTTGATTTGCTACATGAAGCTCTGTACTGGGGAAAAAAAAAGAAAATCAGGAGCCTGCAAACTGGTGTAGACTGAAAGACACTGATTTAGTAGTATACATTTGTGCCATCAATTACAGTGTGCTAATTTCCCATGGTTTTACTCATCTTCCAGGTTCTCAAGTTGGCTTTTCTGTGACCTAACTGAATTCTTAGGATGCCAATAAAACAAAACTCTGAGTGAATTTATGTAGTACATGACAAAGCCTGTAAGTAGATGTGGATGTAAGAAAGGAGCAATCTATGGATTAGGTGAAAATATGGCATTTAAATACATATATAAGGTGAAAAGATAGAATGATAATGAGTTTTGAAAAAAAGCAAATTCTGTTTCTTTTTCCTGTCTCATTAAATTTTAAGACCTCCTGATTTAAACAGCATGAGAGACACAGATTTCCTCATCATCTGGGGACCAGTTAGATGCACATCTGCACGTTATTCAAGTTCCAGCTGATTATGCCATTGCATATACCAGAAGCTTCCTGTCATTTTTATATCTTTGACTACCATGGACAGCAAAGCTAGGTAGGAGCTTTTTAACAAAATGATTTTTCACCAAAGGAGTGCCTCTGCTTCTCTAAGCCAAAACTGTGCAGGAAATGGGTCAAATAAGGTTTCAAAACACTGAAAATTTAAATGTGATGAAGCATGAGCCTGACACTTCAAAATTAAAGATTTTTGATTTTCTGTAAAATGGCTTTCAATTATGAAATATAAACAAATTTCAATGCACTCCAAATATTTTTAAATCACCTAAATTAAATCTTTGCATTGAAATTTTTGAAATTATTACTTTCCGTTCATAAACTTTGTTAAGTTTTGGGTTTGGTCACAGATCAGGAATGGGAGATTTTCACGAGATGGGAGACAATCCAAATCTAGTCCTAATTCAGTCCAATATACTGTACAGAGCTGAAAGCAAAGCTCAGTAGAAGGAAATAACGGAGAACGACATAAGCATCCCCAGAAAAAAACAAATGAGGTATTCTGTTTTCCCATTTCATCTGTTCCCTAGCCTTTAATTATTCATTAGCAGCTGTACTTCTAGTAAGATTCTCATCAGGTATCTATTCCAACAAGTAAAGTATAATGGTAATGAATAATCTGGATCTCTTATTTTAGCAAATGTGCCTGGGTCTGTTTCATGACTACCTGAATTCAGAATGTTTTCTTTTCCTTGTAGCAGGGCTAATTTATTTCTGATATAGGTAAATGCTTACAAAAGCCATGTATTAAAACTTGTAACAGCAGAAAACATTTAAATGTTTATGCCTCTCTTTCGTACAGTAATGAAAACATAATAATAATAAAAAATAGTAAATTTTAAAAAATATATAAATAATATTTTTTGGTTTTTTCAAGGTTACACAGAAAGTTCATTATTCACAGGAGCTGCATTACAATGAAAATAGTCTCTCCAGCTGTATGTCCTGACAAAAATAATGGTTAACTTAAAGCCATGAGGTCTGTTAAATAACTACAAATCTGTGTCAACAGTTGAAAATCATAATTTATTGCATTTCATCTCAAAGCAAAACTTTGGCATATTATGCAGTTTACAATTTTTAATTTAGTTATTTGGCCTAGAAATTAGAGTGAATGGAAATTTAGGTGGACAATTGGAAACAAGCTATTTAAGTCTCAGGGATTTCACTGGGAAGGAATGTAAAAGCAGGGGATATTTTCCTGAGGGTGTGGAAAGAGAACAGGTTTCCATCCTTTTTGAAGAAGAGCACCATGAGAGTTTTCACCAATATAAAATGGAAGAACCAGAAATATGGGGCATGATATTAACAGGATTACTAACTTTGGCCAAGGAATTCATACAGGAGATGTCAAATTTCTTGGACAAAGTGAGAAAGATGATTAGAGGCCGTACTCTTAGAAGGCTCTACAATTTTAATCGATCTGAGGTCTAGTTATTTTGAAGCACATGATGACTCTCACAAGAGCATCCTGTTACTGGAGGAGGAGATTCCTCTGAAGGTGCTTAAGAGGGAAAACCACTGGGCAGCAGCTCAGTCATCTCTTCACTCCCAATTGAGATGATTTTATGCTGACAGTTGATTTAGAAAACTTCTGAGTTTGACTGTAAGTAAATGTTCCAGCATTTCACTGAGGAGAAGGCTGACACCTGAACTTTACAATGTTCATGGTACTGAGAAGGCATCTCCGTTCCCAGTCTAGCTTCAGAAAGGATTTGGACTATATCAGGCCCAAGGCAGCAGTAGGGTGTGCTGCTATCCATGAGGAGGAAAGCTGCAGGTCCCACCACTGTAGTGACTTACAACCACAGCTTTATTGCGCAGGGCTTGGGAGGCCCCCTTTGAGCAAAAGACTGCAGCAAACAGAAACCGTAGTGTCTCTGTGCCATTGCTTCTCCCTTCTCCTCCCCTCCGTCAGTCTGTAGAGGTCAGTGTATGAGAATCTCGGTAAACGGCCAGTTACCAATCTTATGTGCGATGAGCTCATTGGAAACTGCTGATTCCTCAAGGCTGAATTTACTGCTTTGCTATGTCAAGCCAACATGGTACATGTGTTGGGCAGATTCTCAGCTGCTGTAACTTGTCAGAGCTCTGTGAAAGTCAGTTGGGCTTGAGCAATTCATACCATGAGGATCTCATTTATATAATGAATATGAAAAGAATATTTTATATACAGTCATTTTTCATAAAAGAGGACTGGGATGACCACGACCCTCATACTTAGGGATTATGTAGCTATGGAATTAATTCAGATAGATAGTTAAAAGCTAATGGTCAGTTTCTATGATTTTTACACTTTCATGTATTTCCCATTTTCTGTGCATATTTATTCACTCACTCACAGAGCTCTTTTTGTTTGGTTGTGTTGATATAAGTTTGATGTGAGAATTAAGCTACTTTTGGTTGAAGGACAAATTGCAATTCTTCTGTCGGTTCTCCTTCTGAGAGGAAAGGCATATTGTTTTCTGTTACCGGGATGAAGAATTATTTTCTGTTATCTCATATGTGTGGTTCCACTTTTTACTTTAGGAGTTATAGACTATATGCCAGTTTGATCCTAATTTACCTTATCTTTACATTACTTGCTCACTCTACTCTCTTTATAATAGCTACCTCTTCCTAATATTTTCAGTCTTAGTTTTGTTTGAAGTCCTTAACCTGGCTCTTGTTACTTAGGTTGATCCAAATGAATTCACAAAAGTCTCTGCACAAGAGGCACTTTAAAACAGGATGTAAGAAGCGTTGTCTCAGCTGAGACTAGAGAAGATCCATCTCACCCGGTATCCTGGCTCCAAACGTGATGAAAAGTGGATGACTACATAAGAGTACTACAAAATGACAACCTTTCAGTGATAGCTACTTGCCTTACTTTCCCAGCTTCCAGTAATATGACTTCCTAAGTCAGAGGCAGAGTCTTTGTATTTAATAGCTCCTGATGGATGATTTTGTCCAAGAGCTTTTTTTTAACCTATGTAAAATTTTGGGAAACACAACATTGTGTGTCAAGGAAATTCAAGTTACCTATGTGCTATATGAGAAAATGCTTCCATGCTTATATTTTCACTGTGTCTTTTATGATACAAAAAACTTCCATTCTCTATTTCGCCTATCTTTGCTGGTCGTGATTTTAGAGAGCTCTCTTCTTTATCTTTGCTCTTCCAAGCTGAGAAATCCTGATTCTAGTTGTTTTTAGTCCTGGAAAATTGTTACTGTTCAGTGTCTCTGTTTCTTAGAAAACTACTCACATGTAATTTTCAGTGATCTCTTCTATTTATCCTGTATGAAGAAGGATTCCAATGTGGGATCCTCCTCAAGTTTCCCCAGGGCAAACAGGGAAGCAAAGAGTTCATGTAGCTTTACTGCCATGGCCTTCTCTCTTCCATGTGCTCCCTTTATACTTCAGCAACCTACTGACCCTGCTGACTCTCAGACAGGCATCCTGCTTCCTATGAAAAAGGACTTACTTTAAGAAGTTTTTAATGGCCTGCAACGTTTCTTCAGCCATATGATGTGCTTATGTTTTATTTTCTGTTTCACTTTCAAATTACTGAAGGATGTAATCTTTTTAAATAAACCTCTTTACCCTTTATTTAACAGCTTTTGCTAAAACTTTTACTCTGAGACTTCACGCTGCTGGGAACTACCTTCTTCTTGGGGCTGTCACTTTTGATTTTTTTTTTCAAGTTACCTCTTACCTTTTCTTAAACTTGATCACTAGTGGATTTCTTGTTTGCTCATGTGTGGATAAAAGTCTAATTTCATTACAGTTACTATTAGCATAGCTGTTTGATAAGAAGGACTGAAATGACGGGTCAGATGTCTTTCCTGACCGGCTGAAAAGAGTATGAGTGTGGATGTCTTTCTGCATAATTATTTTTCATTTCATTTAAAATGATGTGATTGTCTACAATATATCAAGTTATTCTGGGCAAAGTTAAAACATGGAAGGTGCTACTCTTTCTCCTAATTTGTCACCTTTATTTTTCAGTGTAGATTGTTACAATTCACAATATTTGTCTTTTCTAAGATAAAGATGAGGGTGTTGACTTTCTTCCAAACAGCCAGCAGCTAACAAGTGTCAGTAACTTAGCCTGCAGGGTAGAGACGAGTGCATCACCTGGCGATACCCCATCGGTCATTGCATTGCACGCTGCCTGGGTCGCCGTTTGCCACTACGCAGGCTACCAGCCACCTGCTGCAATATTTTGGAGCTGAAACTTAAAATTGCCATTGTTCCAGGGAAGATGGAATTTACAGTTTCCCTTCAACAAAATTCTTTGGGACAAGGACCCTCTGTAGCTCCTTTGTGAAACTATAGTACACATTAGCAATAACCTAGCAGTAAAACGGTAATTGGGAGGGCTGTTATATGAGGCATGCTAATTGCAGTAAGCCAAATCCAGGGAACTAACTTTTAACAGTGCTACCGAATTGCATGTCATTTTAAAACGTATTTTCCAGTTCTTTGCGCTTGGTTAATGGGCTTACCTGCTGAAATGTACTCTGAAAGGCTCTAGTAGTTCAGCAAGCAAGAAAACTCCAGCTAAAAAGTCTCCACTTGCAGCTGTACCTGTGGTGATGAGAGCTAACCTGGAGAAGAGGAAAAGGCAGTGAATTATTATATGCCTCTGGAGAAATTTAGAGCTGAAAAAATATTTTCTTCTGAACTGACATACTGGGGAAGTCAGGGAAAACATATTCAAAAGTGTACTTGCATTTGTGGTATCATTAGCACGGTTGCTGGGCTGAGCCCTGCTAACAAAAGGGCCCAGTCTATTTTATTACCAGCTTTTATGTCAAGCTGTTCCAACAGTAGTGAATAGGCAAAACATAGGAACTATCCCTGTTTTCCTTGAAATATGCCCTACGCTATTAGATGCAAATAAGCGGCTACAAAGGAGCCATTATAGCGTTCTCCGAGTTGCCTAAGACAACTTTAATAGATGGAAGAGCCCAATTCTGTTTCAGCACAGCAGAAGGTTATACTATCGCCCTATGAAACATACTGGAAAGGTCACAAACATTATCCACCATGGAGCATTTAATTACAATAATGCACAAATGAAAGAAATTCTTATTTTAAAAGAATTCTCTATCTTCCCCATGTTCCTTTTTAGTGAGCGAGGTTTTATTTCTAGACAAGCAAAGACGTGAAACCTCGCCTCATCCGATCGGTTTGCTTGTCCTGCCCCTTAACGATTTTAAGCAATCCTTGAAACCGTCAAGGGATCAAAAAAAATTGTTGCAGAATCAATATATTTTTTTTCCTACTAAGACTTTAGTGCTGAACTCTCCTGGAATACATGCAGAAATAACTCCCTGCCAAGGTGTGGGATCCAGTTCGCCTGAAACCATTCAGGCTTCAGCTTACCTACTGCCTATTGTCTCTTAGAGACGCCAGTGTTCCTCAGCAGCCCCAGGCCATCCCTCATTTTTCTCTAAGGGCTGGACCTGAGCTGCTGTTTGCTGATCCTTTCTGGCCCACCTTAGGGGATGTGGCCAAAAGGCGAGTGACTGAGAGCCCAATCTTTTGAGGTATGGAGCGTCTTTCTTTGACTCCCAGTGGCACCAGACTAAAATGCACCTAAACTTTGCTTTACTGTCTTCTTTAGGACTTCCAGGGCAGTTCTCCAGCAGCGTAGTCCAGAGTACCTGCAATATTTCATAGTCAGTAAGTATCTTAAGTTACACTTAATATTCTAAAACAGCTTTATTGCAACATCATAGTGATAGCATCCAAACCCAGATCTTTATAAAGTGCTGTATTGTTTGCCAGGCGGTTGTTAACATGCATGATTTAAATGATGACGCAAGCAAAACTTCTGCTCTGAAATGGATAAATTAAAGATACCAAAATATTATGTTTCCTCTTGCCAATGAGAACAGCTGGCAAAATGGGTTTACTGAACAAAACTTTAGCCAGCAGACACAGGTTATCATTTTCACAGGCTTTCCCTCTGAAATACAAGATTAACAAAACATGCTATTTTTTATTTCAGAATTGGAGGGTTTGTGTCTTTCATCTGGTGAAATTTAGCGTAAAAGTGAAAATAATATCAAAGTTACAGGCACCAGAGGGAGGCTGTTAATGTGGGAACAAAGGGCATTTGGCCAGTTAAAATAATAAAAGACTATACAACTTTCCCAGTGATGGCAGAAGCCCAATTAGTACTTTCCAAGTAGAGCCACAATATTCCTTTTCAGATTATGCGGTTTGGCATGATTCAGGATGAGTAAACTTACTTTCCTACAAGGGAAAAACATAATTAACAGAAAAAACAAGGTCATGCAGTATTATGCTTTAAGTAAGCAATAATACACCACAGGGTGTACCTTAAACAGTCAATATTCATACACCTTGAACAGGCTGAGGCAGAGGTAAAGCAATGGCTCAGCATAAAAAAAGATACATATATTATCTTAATAAATCTATGTGCAAGAGTAAAATGCAAATGCTTATTTTATTTCCTTACTAGATGGTTTTAAGGGAATGTTTGTTCAATGTTCATGTATATAGTACTTAAACATATAACCTAAACAGTACCTTTTCTGTTAACAATATATGGATTTAAGTAATAAATGTTTTTGCTATTTTCCTTTTGTTTGAGCACCTGGGATTTTTTGGGCTGCTACTAAAGGTAGAATGGTTTGGAAGATTCCTTTTTCTTAGTTAAAACAATTAAATTTGTTAAAGAGACTTTCAACCTGGACACTCACAGAGAAAGCCTCTAAGAGCCTATTCTTGTTTATCCTAATCCACTTTCCACTACTCTAGAAGAGATACAAAACCTGCAAAGACTCAACAAAGCTGGAAATAAACTCGCAAGACGGGAAAAAAGAAGCAGCAGCTTCCAATTTGGAGGTGAACTTAGGAGTGATTTGTAAGGATAGGTTTTTTCTTCTGTCTTGTTTTTGATAGTGGTTTTGAAATAAAATCAAATGCAGTGGGCCAGTGTGTTCAGCTGAAGCTCAGATAGAAGGGAAAACACGTAATGCAAGAGAAAGCATGGTGACCCCGGGTAAGTATATACTATGGTAGCAAAATGGAAACAGTCCTGCTGAGACATCTGGTTATTGCTCTGCTAATGACACCGTTCATGAGAAAGCAGAGCGATATGCCAGAAGGAAGATGAAAAAAGAAGAAAAAGAAAAACTTCAAAAACCATGGAACCACTCCCATCACCCGAAGCTTAGACCACACACCTGAAAGGGAGTAACCCACATCCAGCTCCAGCGCAGAATACGTACACCCTTATCTCCCTTTCAACTCCACCATTTTGCAACTCTCTTATAGAAAGTGTACTTAAGGGAGGAATTGCTTGTTCATTTCCTGAGTTTTTCTAGTAATTACAGTAACCTCTGGTGTTCGAAACGGTCATGAGCTGCAGCATCTCCCCGTAGCTCCGGCGTTACTGCTGTTTCTCTCTCGGCTGGTGCAATGTTTCCTTTGCTTCCTAGTTGCAGCTGGGATGATCCCAAACTGCCCCGTGAACCAGCCGCCCCCACCACAGCTGTGCGTGTGGAGACGAGGAGAAGCGCGGGCAGTGGATCTGGGAGCATATCTGTGACCTGCCATGTCATTTCAGTAGTCACATATGTGTACTGTGCACAATATTCGCCCTGCCCTATCTTTAGTTAATCCGCAAGTCAATAGCTAATTGCGTACAACACTCCACTGTCATCTGCGCAGGCTAATATATGCCCTGAAACCCCTGATTTTAAGCAGTTACTCAAAAGACAGGAAAATCTTCCCAAATCATAAAATTGCTGTAAATATTAAACAACCAATTGGGAATAGGAACAAATTGCCAATAGCCCCGTATGGTAAGCGCTATCATTTTAAGCCACTTCCATCTCTTACCGAACGGACGAAGGAGCAGCAGGTGGTGCTGGCGCAGGGGCAGCAGGGGCCAAAGGCTGCAGTGAAGGCGACGCAAGAGCCTCCATGCCCAGGCACAACCATCCATCCCTGCAGCAGCTGCTCTTGTCCTTGAGTTGCCACGGCTCCCTTTGTAATGAGAAACTGACTCCTTAGACTTTGACTCCTTAGACTTAGACTCCTTAGACTTAGATAGTCCTTAGAGTATCCTTCTAAATTGTTGTTGTACATACAGTGCAACCTGGATTTTTTTCTCTTCCATGCTTCATCATATGTTCAGCCATCACCCCTTTACCGAAAAAATTTAATCCTCTTCACTTCTTAAAACAGGTTAATCTCCCTGATTTTAGGGAATGGAGATATTTACTGAGGTGCTCTAAAGGACTTATGTAACTTGAGTGTGTAAAGAATGGAAATAATAGTATCAAAATGTGGAGAAGACCAAAGACTTTGTCTATTCCCATACTAACAAATCTTCTTTGATGCAACGATAGATCTAGTTCACCTTGAGTCAGAGCTTCAAGAAATCTAGTGGAAAAAAATACAACACAATAAACTGAGAGAAAATATCTGAAAAATATCTCTCTCTGTTTTCCCTAGAAAATATTTTCTGGATACTTGTTCATATAGATGCTAAACTGATTTTTATTTTAGATTAACTTGTTAAGAAGGAGGGAAGATTCTCATAGATACATAAATTTTCTTACCTTGGAAAATTTTTATTGGTTTTAATTTTAAAATGGCACCAGAATGTACTGTGTGAGAGGAAAAAAAATATATTAAGAGAATAATGCAAAAATTTCCTGTATAAATAGCTGTTGAAGGTGACTCTCTGCTCTTCACCGAAGCTCCTCAAGCTATTTTAAAAAGTTTAACAACTGTTTTCTATATAGAAACTGTATTAATAACAAAATCATGCTATTTGAAAACATCTTGTGAAACAACTTTGTTCAAACAAGAATACCATATTTAAAATTTACCTTGAAAACCTACTGTCCTTACAGGCAGCAATTGTATTTCTCTTCTATATATGTTCTTGCAATGCTTTCGTCAGCCCCTTGGTTCCGTGTACCTTCCAGCAGTATATTAAGCAACATGACTGATATCTGATATCATGGGTAGTTTAATGCCTTCTTAATTAGCCTTGCACCTCTATGAGATTGAATTTAGTAGTACAGCATTACCATCAACTGTATGTTTTAATTTCTGTGACACGTTTCTCTTTGCAAATCCCTTTCCTTGAGCAACACAGTAAGTCTATCATTGTCCAAAGAGGAGAAAGTAATGACAAAGCTTTGTCCCAGTTTGACAGATACTGCTACTAACTACAACCAGCAAAACAGAAAGAAGGGAAAGAATTGCTTTAAAATCAATCTTGTCAACTCAGAATGATCAGCTGGTTTCACCTTGCTGCAGTGAAAGCCTGCAGGTTTCCTATGTCTGAACTTGTCTCAAATATTTCTCAGAAGATAATGAATTATGGTCAAGGAAAATAATCTCTTCTGGCAGGAATATCAACGCATTTACCTTTCTAAGCCAGTATTTGCATGTGTTACATTTATTCGAGTCAGAGATCTCAGGATTATTTGTAAAATCAAGGCCTTCAAAACTCAGCTTAAAAAAAAAAATGTCAAGGCTTCTTCCTCCTTGGATGAAAGTCATTATATTAACATTGAAAAATGTCCAGCGCTTACCTGCTTAGTGTTCTAGCTGTTAGACCACAGCTATCAAATCCAAAGGGATTCTCTAAACAGAATATAACAAATTAAAACATTATTAATAATGCACCAAAAAAGTTAATGTGTTCATCTTAACCATGTCAGCATCAAAGAAGGTATTACTGCAGCAGTCCAGGAGGGCACACTAAGTAAAACTACCTTTTAATAACTTAATAAATCTTGAATATAAGCAGATTGCCATCACAGTTAAAATTGACAAATAGATATATTTTTCAAGAATTCTATAAAGCTGCAGACCTTAACAGATGACTCTTTTGAATAAATTTTCTAATCCCAGCACTCATCTTTATACAAAATAAGTAACTACGATCCAAAAAAACCCAAATAAATTCTATCATGTGAGTTTTAAAAGATTAATCTTTCTCCCTCAAAAATATCCCTGAAAAACCTTGTTCATCTTTCTAACAAATCGTGAAGCTCTTGCTAGTAAGTTTAACAATACAGAAGTCTTCTGCTCTCTATAAATATGCAACTAAAAGCATTTTATAATTTCCTGACATCCATGACAAAATCAGGAAATTTAAACACTGACTTTTTTCTTAAGGATTTAAAGTTTCCAAATTTCTAGTTAACTTGCAATTCAAAACGGTTAAGATGCTTCTGAAAGTCAATGTCTTTTGAAACTTCATAGATATGTATTCCTCATTTTAAACTGTACTGCCCTTAAAATGGAATCTTCACAACCAGGTAGTCTCAAAAGTTTTTTTTTTATTATGAACAACTCTAGAAATATTGATGTAATATTCCTAACTACTTTGAAAGAGTTATGTAAAGAAGATATCCAATGCTACTTTAAAAATACATATTTGCTAAAAGTCTTAAGCCTTTCATTGTTATGTCAGCTTTAAAAATAAGTAAAAACAACTAAAAAGACAGATCTGCAGCGGAAGGATTTCTGGGAGATTACTTGTGAACAATACTGCCATTACACAGCAGTCTAATACAGAGATTCCCCAAATTAATTTACTTTAGGTGTCACCGTCATTCTCTTTTTCCTTCAAGCAGCAGAAGCAGTAGCTGCCAGCTATGTGCCAACCTTCAGATATACACTGGAAAAAACATTCAGCTGCTTGGGCAGCAAATGCAATCCTGAAGCCATTTCCACAGCTTCTCTGGGGAAGAGGTGGTGCTGGGCTGCACATTTCCCCATACTCTTTTCATGCTGCTTTGGAAGATTTTGTTGGGGAGTTTGGGAGCTCCTACTCGAATGCAACCAGGAAAAGTTTTCCTCAAGCAATCTGAAATACCATGTACAAGCAGCCAGGAGCACACAACCCAAAAAGAGAAGTTCCTAAGGTCCTGTGCAAACCATACCACACTTAAACCATTATGTTCCATCATGTTACACTAAAGCATTTCTGAAATTTTCCTGTTCCTTAATAAATTGTGCTAAGTGCTTTTAATGTGCTAAGTATTTCCCTTTGTCTCCCAATACTATTCTTTTTTTTTATTTTTCTATTATCTTTGGCATCACTTTATCCAAAACACGTGTTACCCTTGGAAAAGGCACATTAAAAACACACTATTAAGCTATCTCCCAAACATGTCATGTTGGCAGTGGAGAGGCATCATGCACTCAGGAACTAATCAAAACCTGCTATAAACTAGGAGCTTATCAGTTACAAACAACAGAGGAGAGGGATCTAGGTATGCGTATTAGCTGACTGTGGAAGTATTAAGTTGCCACACGACGATGAAAAAACCCTGCAATCCAAGGATGAACCAGTTAAGGTCTTTCTAACAGAGAACAGGAAACTACCTGTGTGCTGTTGTTTAAGGCACGTGAGAAAGCTCATGCAGGTTTTTCCGTCATGTTTGTGGAAGATGAAGCAGGTAAAGAAAAGAGCTGCTGAGATTATCAGAGAGAAGTCATTTTAAGTGCAAGGCTGCAAAATTTTTACTTGTTTAGTCTAGCAGAAACACAAGCTGATACAGGAAATAATTATTCTCTAAAAACACAATAGGGTGGTAAACAGTAGGCAGGGAAAAGAGCTATTTACTCTAACGGACAATGTTGGCACAAGAACAAATGGGTATAATTTGGCCATGAAGAAATTTTAGGCTGGAAAGGAGAAGTTTTCTGGTCATAAAGGTAGTGAAGTTCTAGAGCAATTTTCTCATACAAATAGCAAGGACAAAAAAACAACAACTTAAGCTATTTAATAATGATGATTGTTAAGTTCTTGGAAAATGCTACAGGCATAGTTGCCTGTAAAAGAAAAGAACTGCATTTTGATGATCCAAGAGATACTTCCTAGCATTATATTTCGCTATTTTCTGAAAGCAGAGGTAAAAAAATGAAATTAAATCATATTTATGCATACAGCATTAGAAATATTGCTCAGGCAAATGCCATCCATATGTAAATGATCTCTATAATTAAGTTTGTGCTTTGCAACAAGAAAACAATTTAACTTGATAAATAGGTATCAGATTGTTCTTCAGTGGTTAGAAGCTAATTCCTTTTACTGGAAAGTTGCAATTTATCACATGCTAATTTCCTTACTTCTTTACAGTGTATCTTTCTACTGTTTTTATTTTGCCTCATCTTCATTCACTCTCTTAAGTTCTAGAAAACTATTTCATCAGCATATGTGGATAGCAATGGGAGAGAGCTGGAAAATAAGGTTTATTTATCTGGCCAAATTTGGCTACTCAGTTCTTCAGATGAGAATTTGCTATTAGTCTAAAATAGTATTAGGGAAAAGAAACAAAACTGATGATCACTGTGGAAAGATGGAATCTGGATATCAGAAAGAAAGAAGCAAACATAAAACAATATTTGAGTTAGAAAAATAAATTTAAATTCAGGAAGAGTGTCCAAAAAAAATAGGGAAAAATGTTGAGAAACTATTTCCACAAACATAGAAAGAATTTACTGACATTGCAGTTATGGGTTTAGCCCAGAGACCTAACATCAAAGCAGTGCTTAAGGTTTTCTTGTGCAGCCTCTGATGCCTGTAATAGTCTCACTGTTAGTAGCTAATAAATATGGCTCACCCAGCACTGTAGTGGCCCTTGAAATTCAAAACTGTGCTGTATCACTATGCGATTTGAAGAATTTCAGTTATTTAAAAACTAGAAGAAACTGCATTGAATAATCGTTAACAAAAACTGTATTATCAACTGCAGTATGCACAACTATTAGCTTATAGTTGATACTTGCTCAACGAATATTATGAAAATATGTCAAAATGTGCTGTGATATTATGTCAAAATGCCCATTGGAAAGTGTACCTGAGCAGATACTGGAGGAGTTTGGCTGCACCATTTAGAGGAAAAGTGCATGTACAAACTCCTGACCCTGCTAAGTGAGGAGCAGCACAACTATGTGGGCTGGCTATAGCAGGCCTCACTCCATAGTTTTTCACTCCATGAACAATAGTAATAGTCCTAATGGTCACAGAACCAAATTAGAGAAATATAGGTAAAGAAGCAACAAAAAATATGCATGCATGTATGCACAATCATTTTTAATGAAAATTTGATTAATGATACGAGTTCTTTCGAAAATTTTTCTATAAAGGTTTATTTTAGCATATCTATTTGTTGAAATGTCCTGCTTCTTTGCCAAAGATTTGAGTGTGTATCTTTTCTCCACCAATCAAGGGCAAAAGTATATATTTGGAAAAGAATGGGCTTTACTGAGAACTATAGAGTAGTTTTTGGTACGAGCTATCTGAAATAAAGCAGTAATAGGTATTTCCATATTTTCATTTTTACTGTTGACCAAAGCCAAACTATGCAAAGTGCAAAGATGCAATAAAAATAATGCAAAATAACTCAAAGGATGAAACTTACTTTTCTATTCACTTTAATTCAGCTTTGTATGAAAGTGCTTTTTCTCCTCTCTGCTTTTAACCCCTTCTTACCCATAGTTACTAGCTACAGTCAGTAGCTTAGTCGATAGCTTTTGCAACCAACAGGTAACTGCAACTACAGGCCTGAAGGCCTCCATATGCTTTAAAGAATAAAATGAGTTCACATGATTGATACAGCAGCTTCAAATTCTTTGTGTCTAAGGTGTCACTCAGATACTAGCCATGACCCATCTGTAGAGACAGGGTAAAACAGTAAGTGTATGATATTATTTAGAAACTTAGTGACAGGCACTTCTAAAATGCCTAGATGGATGTCTATGGCCCATGAAATGTACATGGCTAATTGTGCAACAAATACCATATTCCTTCATCTAACTTTAGTTTCAGCTCACTCACGTAAATAGTCTTCTAACATGGACATGGCAATACTGACTGAACACCGGGTTAGGAAGGAATGTAAATGAGCTCATGATGGAGTTCATAATCACATCTTTAAAGAAATCCTTTGATGATTGCAGTTAGAGCAACTTAAAAAAACAAGTACATATAATAGGAATAGCCACGAATTCTCCTGGTATAAATTGTATGTTTGTCTGAACCAATAGGTTTCTCTGGTTCTGATATTTTAGGATATGCTAATTGATTTTCTAAAGTTCCTGTCTGAAGATCTGTCCTCTGAAGAGCCATCTCTGTTAAAATGTGCAGTGTTCTTTCTGCAGGTGATGAAAATGAGAGACTTACTGTGACTTCTTTAAACTAACATCTATAAACATCTCTGTCTAGATGATAGATTATTACATAAGCATTAAAGATCTGTTTGCATTATACTGAAGCAGCAACTAGTAAATATACAGAATTTTTGCTACCTCATTTGCGGGAGTCGCTTCAACCTGGGCCTGAGAAGCACTTAAATTTTTATAGCCCATGCAAGAACGTTAAAAACTACCACTGGCAGATGGGAGTCTGTTCATGATTTTTATTCAAATTAAATTACATTCTAATAGATATACATTTAGTAGAATGCTTAAAGGATGATTTTTTTTTAAGTCCTTAGTTTTTACAGCACCTAATAAGAGTTTGGCTGGAACCCACAATTCTTCTTCTGGGAGGGTGGGGGATTCACACTATTTTTTTAAAACTTTTTCTTAGCTTTATTTTTTTTAAATGCAATTGTCAATTCATCACTTTAAGTACATCTGCATTTTTTTTTAAATAAAATTAAATGAAATTTTTTTAAAAAATGGGTTGCATATATGATGTGAATCTTTCTGCTTATAGTTCATGGCTTTATTTTATCTGTGTTTTCTTAAAATGATCTCTGAATGTCTCAAAATGGCACTTTGCTCTCTCAAATGATTCATGACTGTTCTTCAACCAGAAAAAAATTAACTCCAAACTGCAGATCTTTTGTTTTCTCTTCATACAATGCCTTTCAAAATGACAGCCCATTTCTTGGTAGATATTGTGACTAAAGAAATAATAATGGGAATATTTTTCAAACTATTGTTATGAATACACAGAAATTGAAGAAGAAACTCAAATACCCACTTACTTAAAAATTAGATAAACTACCTATTCAGAGGTATGCACCTGCCTAGAGTCCCTGGGTCACTGCTCTAGTGGAAGATGAAAGGCCCTCTCCAGAACCAAGACAGGAGGAAGGATGGAAATTTTCCTATACTAAATTATGCTAACATTAAAACGCTTTATAAACAGGAATTACTATTGTGGCTGGGCATCCAGGCTTTCGCACCTTTATGATACCCCTGACAACTATATTCTACTTTTTGCCTCTGTCATCACCACAGTACCACTGAAACTAAAAACTCTTTGGAATAGTCAATTTTATAACTTATGTGTATTGGATACTGATCAAAATTCCCCTAGATTATATGGATTCCCCAAACACAGAATTAGCGTGTTCTTACTGCCCTAAAGAAAACATACACGTAAAGTCACTCTTTTCCCATTTATATGAAGGTGCATACATACAGATCTGTATGTGATATAGGCAGAGGAAGTATATGTGGGTAACTGACTGTTTTAAAGTTTCTTAACACTTCTCATTTGTAGGACCCAGTTTTCTGCTGCTTACAATCCTGCCAGACTTTATCCATTCAGCTGGAGTTTTCCATGCAGGCATTGGCATGAGGCTGATTTTTTCCTGTTTGTTTCTATTATTGCTGTTGCTGTTGTTGTTGTTGTCATTGTTATTCCATTGTTTCTAAGCCCTTGGCCTTTCCTATGGTAAAAAATAAGTGAAACGTTCATATGCCTATGCTTCTTGGAGTACTTAATAGACCTGGAGAAGGAGGAGGGAGGCCTTCTGCTTGAGAGACATGCCGTGAAAGCATATGTCATTAAAAAGTCTGTTTTAAGTGATTTGCCTAGCATCACGTTCTGAGGTAGAGGAACATATACACTCCAACCCCTAAGCATAATGAAGCAAACATAGAGTGCTACCCAAAAAGCTGAAACGGTAAGCAATTCTTAACCAGACCAGGCCTTTCAGCTTGCCAAAGACAGAGACCATCCCTCACACAGAGAAAAATGGCAAGTTTAATACAGACAAGATTTTTTAAGAAAATAACTCCTATTCAGAAAAGGAGTTACAATAATCCATGCTGACTCTATGAATCATACAGGCTATGCAATATCACACAAAGAAAAGGTAAGAATAACAATTTGGCCTGCCAATTTAAATGCAACGTAGTTGTTTATGCGCACATGAAATTTATGGCCAGCTTACACATATTAAAGGTGTAGTGGTATATGTAGCTACATTTACACGCCAAAAAAATGCCTGTAAGCTGGTTTTGAAGAGTAATGCTGCAACTGTGTACATGTTTGTGAGTAAACATTATTCTAAAGTATTGGGTTATGGAAACTGTTTTTCCCCAGCCCCATTTGGATTGACAAGCTAAATTTTCTGAGTGAATCAGAGTTTCAATGCATGACACTCATTCTAGGCATAAATATGACTGGTTTATAGAAGATCTGCTTGAGAAAACATAGCAACTAAAAATATTCCCAATCCTGTTCAGTTCATTAATAAATATCCTTTTTTCAAGTACTATTTGAGTATAGAAGTCAGAAGTATGTAGTAAGTCGGTCGCATCCTAGCCTCGAGCTCTCTCTGTCTCCCTTCCTCCACCCTGACTTGGCCAGCCATGGGATGCCCGTTGCGCACGGAGGATGCAGGCATACATCCATCCTGGCTCCCAGCCATCTCCCAGGCTGAATCATGCTTATTTTTGCCACTTACTACTTGCAGGTCAGAGGAGCAGCCAGTTCTTCACTATTGTTCCCCTGGAGGCACAGTTTTTGAATGAATGCAGGAGGCAAAAGAAACAGAAATGGGTAAGTACAAGAAAAGGTTTCTCTAGAAAAGGTTTTACTCAGTGTAACTGAATGTAGTTTAACTGCATTCACTACAGCAAAATTTCTGTAAAATGCTGAAAACAAGTGAACAGTACAATCACAGTCCTACAGGCATTCAAATTGTTTTTTTTCCTTTTAACAGCATTACCCAATTTTGCATTTTTCCACAAATGCTAAATGTATTCACTGTGTGTATTTTGGCTATGCATGTCTAGCTACAGATGTATTCAAATGAAAAGGGAGATGAATTTCTGTAAACATGCTTTTGAATACAGCTCCCAACCAATTTTTGAGACAAGACCTGTGGCAAAAATAAGATTAGGCATGGTTAGAAAACAAAGGCAAGTTTTCAGGCACTGATGAGGCCATATCTTGAAGTACTGCTCATTCTTAACTTAGTCTTCATTGATAGGCATGCTAACATAATTAGGAGTTCAACCTGAGTCAAAGCTCATTCAGGACACATTCAAGACTTCATAATATGGCTTTTATAATTTGCATTACATGCTGAAGCAATAAATCAGATTTGTTCATCTGCTAAAGAAAATATGTCAAATTAAAACATTCTATTAGTAGTATTTTATCTGCACTCCAAAAAAAATTAAACAATACTATGGCTACATTTATACATGTCTTCACATTTAATGTCTACATTGCTTTTTTGTATTACTGCAAATCTTAATTCCTGTCAGCTGGGAGTTAAAATTAATCCCTGCATTTTCTGTGAAAGTCAGATGGATTTCTATTTGTAATAATATTGCAGGTTCATGAAGAACTGTACTTTTAACCATTTTAATAATTGTACTAAATTGTATTTATGTTCAATCAGGTATATATATATTAAGCCAATGGTATGTGCATAAACTGAAGTTAATAGGGTAAAGCTAAGCTATTTAGATCAACCTTTTAAATATCTTTTGCCTTATGAAGAAATAAGGTGATTCACTTGTTGCTTGCAAAATAGTATTTAGTTGTACGTGATTAATTTGCTGATTGCTGAAACATCTGGAAGTTTTGAGATAGTGGAACAGATGATCTAGACTCATTAAAACATGAGCAATTACTGTAGGCCATTCTATTAGTGAATTAAACTGAAACTATTGACATAACTGACAAATGGTTAATATAAGTTAGTATTAAAATAAAACGTGCTATTTCTTCCTGGAGGAGTAATTTATCCATTCCCTGTCATATATATATCGTATACATTGATTCAACACAAGGGCTGATGACATGAAGAATTTAGAGAAAGCTTTGGTGGTCCAGGAACACACTGACCCTCCAGGACTTGTTAATTTATAGCCTACATTTAAAATTGATGCCATGAAACTTCTCAGTAATCATTTCTTCTCCTATGAATACAGCTACTGCAATTTGAGTATTTTTGTAAGTAATGTAAGCAGATGCATTGCTTGTATTTTTGTAAAGAATATGAATAATTCAAATACAGTGTCTGAAAAACATCATTGCACTTTTGAAAAACTAATATGAAGCTTTGCTAGTAGTAATATATGATTCTCTCCTTGGTCTGCTAAAATATCACTCACCTTTCTAATTTTTTTAAAGTTTTGAGTCTATTATGAGTGAAGCATATTGTGCTGCCATTGCCATACTGATATATTTAAGGTAGTGTTGAAATAATATCTGACCGGGATTTTTCTTCTCTCTTGGACAGCGGTCTACAAAAATCTAACAGTGAATAACTTGATTTGAGGAACTGAGTAATTCTTGATTGTTCACAACTGAACACACCGAGCAGCGTTTGGCTTCTATCACTTCACAACCCCCACAGAAGGAGGAATTCAGGTAAAAAAAAGGTTTTATTTCTTCTAATGTTACGTAGTCTAAAGACAATAAAAGTGCAGCCTCTCCATGGGAACTGGGGAGCCCCTTACCTTCACTGCAACTTCCATTTTTGAATTCATTTTGCCCTCTCTGTTGGTCAGAAAAAAAATTAATTTTCAGTACTTTCGGTTACATCACAGTTATGCAGATAAAAGCCACAGAGCAGGTGTACATTTATAATCCAAAAACAAACTGGAATGATACTGTGAAATGCAATGCAAACACTTCTAAAACCAAAGGTGTCTTTTAAAGTATCTGTATGATATAAACTGAAATGAGAAACTTATTTACTTCTGTCACATCCTATGGCTATCATATGGCATCAAAAAGGGGTAAGCTGTTTAGGTATTTTAATTGTACTTACGAACTCATTTCAATTTTTTTTTCTATTTAACTGCAAATGTTCTTCATTGAACTGGTTGGTTTGAGAATGCTGCTGTTGTGGGTTTAAGTTACATTAGCCTTGCTTTGGTCCTAACATTTTTTTTCTGGGAATAAAGGAATGAGTTTCATATCCACCAAAGCACAGAGGAATCTAGAGATGCTGTATACATACTTATCAATAATGCATTTTTCTACAGCCTTAACAGATCATATTCCCATAGGCAGTTGCAATTAATTCAAAGCAACTGTAAAGTTACACACACACACAACCCTCTGTTCTCAGGGCTGTTGTCAAAATAGGTATGACCATTACGGATCAGAACTTGTGTACTTTATAGTAGCTAATAAGAATGCAGAACTGACAAGCTAGAGAGCACATTTAATTACTATCAGCAACGCCACAGTCAGGAAGTTCCCTTTAATTTGCTAATAAGCCTATCTTGAGTTACTGGTTTAAGCTTATGTTTAGCTCAGATCATGTGTCCTGGTGAACAGAAAGCATCTTTTATTTAACATTATGAAGACCATACTGATTCTTAAAGAAGAACAGGAACAACTTTCACAAAAGGCCTGTAATGCAAGCAAAGGAATCAATACATTCTCTCTGTTGATGTCACAGGGAGTTTTGCCATTAACATCAATGGTAGTAGAACAGGCGCCAATGCATTTTTCATATGTGCAACTGAATCAAGATCAATGTCTAAATGTAGCTGAGGGCTTAGTTCTACCCGAACATATATTGGGACTTTTACTCAAGTGAATAATTTCATTTAATTGGGAACTCATGCAAAGAAGCATTTTGGCCCTTGTTTTGCCATTACAGATTCATTTATGTACAAGTATAATTCAACAAAAGCATAAGTACAAAAGCAAATACTAATGCATCTTGGAGTATAATGTAGATGAACCATCATTGCTAAAATTGGTGGCTTTATGTTAAAAACTTAATATTGTACAGGCTGCCATTTATTTCAGCCCAGGCAATCATGCAGCTTAAATTCTTCAGCTGTAGCTATACACCTGATTAGCTACAACCGTATTAGGAAATACATTGGTGGTACAGCTGACTATATTTTGATGTGCTTTATGAAAAAGTACTGGTAATATTCACTTCATGAGCCTGTGTTTGAAAATGTTTTAATGCTTTTTCACTATTCTCATGAGCAATATATCCTGCTGGCACGGTGCAGTCCTGCCATCTTTGAAACTCACACCAACCCAAAATGCAGAGCTTACTTCCCAAAGTTTTCAGACTTTTTCAGAGTACTTTATAATAGAGCGAGTCTCACAGATCACCTCAGCTCCTGAGGTCACGCTCATAACATCCTCCGGCAACTACTGTAGTGACTTACATGGAGAAACAATATTAGGCTGGACCAACGCTGCATGTTTTGAAGCATGAGGCCAGTATGGAGCAGTGGAAGAAAGCCAGTGACACATTAAGAATTCAGTAATTCAAATGCAAAGTAAATTGGAAGACTCCAGAGTGAGTCACAGGAGTATTTGATTCAGGCCCTAAAACGCCAATGTGAAGGGCATTTAGGCTCTGGATTAGCACTGCTTTGCAGTTTATAATGTGGCATGCCATGACCATCCACTCTCTCTCTACAGGCTATCACTGCAGACAAGACTGGTTAAAAGAAACTGAATGCAAACACTCTATAGTGTCAAAATGGTTAACAGACCACGATTTCAAAGCAATATATCATACTGGAAGATGATGGTAGTAGTAATAATAATGTAAATGCTAACAGATATTGCATTTTTCAAAACACTCAAATTGCTGTTTGCATGATCCTTGCAGTATAATAGTTGTATCAGTATCTATTGTATTTATGCATACAGAAACATAAAATACTCATCTTAAAACAATCAAACCAAAACACTCATCCTCAAAGAAGTTTGGCTTGAATCATTTGGGTTTTTTTACCACTGTACTGTAGTGTAGGTTTTGCACTTTCACACCAATTTCAGTCTTTGCTCTGTATAAAGATTTTTATTTGTTAACCTTTGAATACCATGTGAAAATAAAGTGCATAAAATAAATTTAGCACTGATAAATTTAATTCCAGGGAGTGCAGTACCTTGAGAGTATGTTCTCTAAGAAAAACAGTTTGCTAAATCACAACTACAAATATTTTAAAATGCAAGATTTTTGTGTAACCATATTTTGTGCCCCTTTCAAATTCCTTTGTTATCAGAGCTGAAGCTGTAAAACCTTCTGCTTCTTCCACCTTTAGTATGACAACAGTCTCCACTCATATGCAGGAAATTTAGAAATACAGTAAATCATGTTTTAGGAAGGCAAATGACCGAAAATCCAAAGGTTTCAAGACATGTTAGGCTCTTATTTAATAATGTTGGAGAGTCAAAGCTGAGTACAAAACCAATCTTTAATTCTGTTTGCGCAGCAATTCTACAAGTGTATTTTGAATAAAGCAAGCCATTTTTCAAATATACTTTCTTATCCCGTTTTAACATGAACAAATACTAAAACACCCAATTAAATGTTATGAGATCAAACTGTATTATATAACAACATGATATAAACAGGCATTTTCCCCAAAAGAAAGAAAACAGTCATTTAAATAAGAAGAAATACTACTTACCTTCCTTCCTTAGAAAACATTCTCTGAAGGCAGAGTAGATCTGGTTATAACATGAAAAACAAAACTCAAGTGTACAACTCAGACACATACAGGCAGCAGATACAGTTGTCTCCACGAAGAATGCCTATTTCTAGCCTTCTACACATATTTCTTACTTCTCCCCATCGTGATTATGACAGAAGGACTCAAACTATGCTTAGAATGCTGTTCTGTAGCCTAGCTATCGGCACCAACATATGTCATAAATGCTACTCACTGTTCCAGAAGTCCTGCATTGTCCTATAGAGAATTTACACCTCCAAAGCAGAGATTTGTTACAACTGAGCAGATTGTGGCAAAGCACTGTGCCTGGCTTGTCAGAAAAAGTTGTTACTTTCAATGATCAGCACATATTCACAAAGCATAATATCTTTACATTTGCATATGCATATGTACATATATACACACACTTACATAGAGAGTCATACCCTGTCTCTCACAATCACATACTAATTGCTGAAGAGGGCAAAAATCTTGTCAGTGTCACACACCATCGTTTTCCTTGACCGTGGCTTTTGCGTACCTTTGTCGTATAGCACAACCAAGACCAGTGGTGCTAGAAAGCATTTCTAACTCCAACACGAGTAATCATTCACATAAGGCACAGAACTCGTATTGGCTTCCTCTGTGCGAGCGCTGCTACTGCTGTAGCAGTGCAGATTTCTCTATGCTGTTACTCATTTGCTGCAGTCTTTGTGCACGAGTATACGTTATAAACAAATTAGTGCCATAATGACATCCAATACCCAGGAACTAGAGAAAATCATGGAGAATCAATCACATCCTACAGCAGGCACATAGATTTTCTGATTGTAAAAATGCGTAACAGGAGATAGATTTTCCTGTGCTGTCAAAGTTAAAGGTACCGAAAGGAAGCGCATACTAAGGCATTTTTGTTCCACTGTAATATTGATCCAATGCCAGACGTTGTGAAACACAATGGGCACACAGTCAGCCTTGGTAAATTAGGTAAATTAGAGATCATTTGATGGTATTCTATTGTTGCTATTGTAATCACAGTAATTTTCACTGGTAATGGTGCTTCGTGATGAAGGGCGGTTCTCACAGGATAATTGTGAAAGGTATCGAAAGATTCAGGGTGTAGCATCTGGTTTTAAAAGCTCTTCAGATTCAGATTGGCATTTTACTTTATCTTGAAAATTTATTACAGATTCAGATCATGCCGGTTTAAATGGAAAGGTGAAAGCAGGGTAATTTCAATCTATGAATTATTCAGATTCAGACTGGTGAAATTGCCATCCATGAACTGATTCTCTGACAGTCTCTTTGCAGAACCTCCATTACGCTTGTCATTTTTATTTCTTTATCTACAATCTCTTTCTCAGTTACTGAGCTTGTCCCTTAGGGCTGTGCTTCACAAACCAAGTATTTCAAATTGGCAATAACCTAAATGTGTTGCTGTCTCAAATCGCAGTCTCCACAGGCTGTCTTTTCCAAATCATTAAAAACCACATCCACAACGGTGTCTCTTAGGCTCTTCGAAAAGATGAATAAAAAAAAAAACGGAAAAGAAAAGAGAAGAGGGCGTCATCTCGAAGAAGAGCTATGTTCCTGTAAGAGTCCAGAAAATGAAGTGATGCTTTGTGCTTGTTCCTTTGTTGTCAGCGTAACCCGTCCTAGTTGCATAGCATCACGCAGAAAGAAACAACTGTTAAAGCAGGCTGACTTTGTGCCCTGATTTCCAGCAAGAGCAGATAAGGACTGCATTATAGACAGGCTAATCCACACAGATATACATTCAGAGACCAAGCACAATTCATAGCTTCTTACAGGCAAGAAAAAAAGAAGTAGTAGTAGTAGTAGCTGTTGTAGTAGTTGTAGTAATTGTAGTATTAGAAGAAGGAGAAGCGACGGGATAACTGAAAGTGTTTCATTCTCACAGGCTCCAACTGATAGAGATTGCAATCCCAGAGACTCTCCACTTGATGGCTGGTTGTGTCATCGCTAGTCGACTGCTGCCCTGTATCCAGAAGGACTGGGACTGATTTAGGTCAGAGAGTCTGGTTTCTTGTTTGAGCTTTGCTCTGACTGATGTAGGAAATTGCGGCAATCTGTATTACCGATATGTATGACCCTGGGACGCTGACCCAGCTTCAGCAGTGGAGCGCCTGCAAAGGCCCCAGTCAAACACACAGTGACAGGTACCATCTCCTTTGTGCTAGTCCTGCAGGTTTATCATCGTGGCGTAAAAAAAACTCTTAGTACACAAAGTGGGAGACCAGCCGATCTTCCTCTGAGGCAATTTGGGTACAGAGCTCCGAGCAGTCCCTGCTCAGCTGAAAACGCTGCCAGGCTGAAGCCAACACATCCAGGCTGTGTGTCTGTTCCTACGCTAACTCCAGCAAAATTTCCCTCGTATTAAAAAGACGAGAATAAAAAATCTATGCTGCTTTGTGCCTGGTTCTTTGCGTCTGCTTTGCCGCACTGCGACTAGAAAACTGCAGCACTAAGAGCTCTGGCAGTTGCGATAATGTAGAAAGCAGCAGCTCTGTGACACAGCAGTCAGCTGACTTGCAGTGTTATCATTCAATGTCCTCTACAGAATAAGGCCAGTTTCTAAGGTAGCACCAGCAGGATGACCTTGCATACAAAAATTCGGCTAGAAAGAGTAGCGTTACTCATACACACCTGGAAGTGATTTTGGGGTGGTATGTACCATTTACATCATTTTCATTAGGAGCACGCAGGTCTGCAGTGGTGTCTTTTCCCTTCCTCCTTTCCTTCTTCTTTACAAAACAGAACTTGTCATTTAGTGGGCTGATTTCCTTCTATCATGCAATAATCAATGTCATAATGTGCAGCTAATGACAAAAGTTACTATTAATGATAGTAGTTAGGTAGATGAGTTAGAAAGTATTGGTTTTAAGCCACATTTCTACAAGAAAACTTTGAGTTTTTTGGTTAAGAAAACCCCTCACGTCTATGGACTTGCTCCAGGAGAGAGACAATATGCAGGTGAGCACCTTTGCAGGGCAGTCTCAACTGGCAAGAACACATTTCTGAGTTCTCGTCTTGGCATCTAACAACCTGGGCTGATTTTCCTAGCACTCAATGGCTCCCAGCTAAATTCCCTGGGAACATTTGGTTGCTCACACCTCTGAAAAATCAGGCTGCTTACTGAGGAGGAAAACTTTTAAGTTACAGCTGGCAAATATGGGAACTGATTGCAGTTCAGAGTCGGGAGGAGTCCAGTGCATCACTGCCACTTTGAGATTCCCTTGTGGCACTTCACGCATGCTCTGGAAAAACTTCACCGCGTGCCTACATACTTGAAATATACCTAAGGCTAGTGCAGTTTCATCAGGAATTGCTATAAATCAACTTACCAATCAGTTACTGAAAGGATTTATATTACGTTGTATTGCATTATCCTTAGCCTAGGACAGATCAGCTCTCGCTGATCTCAGTGGAAGTGCCGTGCTTGCTCAGGCCAGAGCTAAACTGCTGCTCACAATTACTGCAGTAGACTGTGCATTTCAGTGAGACACTTTGCAACTTCCTTATAAAGTACTAAATGCACACAAAGTGTTAGCCTGAAATTTAGCAACACTCAAGCAAGCAAGCAATCATTTTGCACTGGGCTAATATTCCTTGTAACAACCATAATCACATGAAATTGCATCAGCCTTAAAGTGGACATAATATAGAGTTCTGTCATAATTTAGCAATTTGCACTAAAACCCAAACAAACTGTAATAAAACCATGAAAATGGTAAAAACTGCATTGTATCTTTAAGCGGCAGTTCTGTTAGGCAGTACGAAGAGTAGAGCACCCATGCAGGGTCTGCATGCCCACTGCTATGTTGCCTCAGGGAGAGAAATGTCTGCTCTCGTGTGTATCCAGTTAATGGACGAGTAATGTAGCTACAGTCCTGTCTCCTCCTTAATCATTTTTTATTAAATGCCCCAAAGGCTGCTATTCCTGCAATCAGCAAAATGAGCACAGAGGTCTAGAGGAGAGATTTCGGTGCTCTCTCCTTACCTTTACGATTAAAAAAACCACACCCCTCAATTACCTGCTGTGCCTCCATAGTGCCATACGCTTGGTAGTCAAGAATTTTTTTTTATTTGTTATTCTGAGAATTCTGATGGAAGTGAGGAAGGAGGGTGTAGTCTAGGCGGAGAGAAGAAAGCCAAGGATGCTGGTTTTCCTGCTGTTACGAATTGGCTGGATGATTAGTGGTTTTTTAATGGGTGCTAATGAATCCCCTGCAGTGTGTATTGGTTCTTTTCAGAAGCTTGCACCAGAAAATGGGGGTGTGCTTAGAGGCCCCACATAAAAGAAGTGGTGAGGAGGGATGCTTTTTATATGTGGTTATGATTCTCCTTTTTGGCTGAGCTCCTGGGCTGAAATGACTCTCCATTGTCTCTTTTTTGGACCTCAGGATAAGTTCAATGGCTGTTCCTCCAACAGGGGTCTTTAAATAACAGCTCTTCCCAAGCAAAAGCTGGTCTGTAGTTGGCAGAGGATGCATTTTCCACCAACCATTACAGCCTAGGAAGGCAAAGGAAAGGAAGGAGCATTTCTCTCCTCTTCCAGAACCACCACCACTTCTCTGGGGATGGCTGGAGATACAGCAACCACAGGCTGAAAAATTCTCCCAAGTTTTTTTCCTGTAATCCTGTTGTCTCTTTTGGGATAGGCAGATGTATTTTATTCCCCGAAAGCTCTGTGAGGCTGAAGTGTATATCTTGCAATCTTTGCTGATGAAAGGGTGAAGGAAGCCAGCTGGCTCCAGCAGCAGTGCAGGGAGAGGGCAGGCCCTGGGGGGTCAATGCTGTATGAAATGCAGGACTGGGCATATGCACCGACAAAAGTTCAGGAACTTTCCTAAAACCTGCTTTGGGTTTTGGGTCTGACACTGACTTTTCACTTTAGCTTTCTGGTGTTGAGAAAGGACAACGCGATTTCCTCTAATGTGTAAAGAGCGTCTTTTCTGCTCCATAAACCCCCACCCCCAACCACCATGAACAAAATCCTAATTTGGTCTTCTTAGACTATGTTACAGAATGTTCGAAGTTCAATGTTTTGATTAGTTCTTGGCTATGTATGCATGTGCATATACTATATTACATTACATTGCATTGTATTTAGGGTAAGAAAATAGACTTGGAAGTTTTGGGGAACAATGGCTAAAATACTGAAAGCTTTACCTTGTTTACCACTCAGTAACTCAGGGAACAGCATAGATTAAAATTGTGCCTCTTTTCTCCCCCACCTTTTTCTTTTTTTACTAAAATGAAAATTGCATCCAACTCCATAAATTGTATGCCAAGTTTTAGCTGAACACAATTAGAAACAGCTTAAATATTAAACTGAAAACTGAAGGGCGAATGATATTAAAGTGCAGTTCTTGCACAGGCTCTTAACCACAACACTGCCAACAGGATACTGTATTACTGCTGAATTTTAAAACATCACAAAATATATCCATGTATTATGTGAAGTTATGAATTCAAAAACACTTTAGAAGTCCTTTGGATGTTGCATTCTTCCTTCCTAATCATATTCAACTACACATTCATTCAGTTGCTATTATTTTAGAATCTCTATATCACTGTGTATTAATAAGGGCTATTTTATGTTCTAGGCATTCTTTGTTTCTTATATTGGTTACAGTTTTTAGTCAATTCATATATTTACATGCTAAATTTTTACTCTACTAGTATTTACTAAAAAATGGACCTTTTCAGTTTTTTTTTTACTTCTCAGATTTTAAGTGAATCCAGTTGCTTTTGTCTTACTGATAGTAGTCTGTAACCAAGCAACAGGGAATACATTCGTCTACAGGTTTTTCCTGTCCCTTATTAGCTATCTTTTTATTCTTTCCCGATCTATAAACCTTGAACCTTCAGGTATTAGAAATCATATACACATATTATATAACATCTTCCCAACATCTGGTTCTCTTAAGATTTCAGTGAAATAGCATATTCACCCTCACCCCCTGCTCCCTATATCTTCAGTAAGCTTTATGTAAGTAAAGTCTATTGAGAGAAAAAAAAAAATCTAAAACTGTTATTCAACAGAATTTTCCAAAGAACTGACTTTTCTAAAAACATGAAAATGGTCTCATAATTAATCCCTAAACACACATAAAAGTGGCATTTTCAAGTGGGAATCAAACTTGAGATACAGAATTAAACTTCTACACGCTGCCCTCGGAAGACTAACAAGGGCTAATTAAAAATATAACTCTTGTCACAGAAGTGAAAGAGAATCCTGTGTATTTCCCAATCCTGCTTCTGCAAATCCCCTGCTGAAACAGCTGAATCAGAACAAATTGCTTGTGTGCAAGTTACTCCAGCCATATGGTGAAAGGAAAAAAAAAGCTGTGTGCCTCCTCAGATATGTAGTAAATAGGAACTACCTCCTTGTGGTATGCGGTTTTACACATTTATAGCTAATGTGGAGACCTAGATGTGAAATCGGGGACATGATGTGAATTTGTGACTCTCCCTCTGGGACTTTGGGCTCATAAACTCATGATATTCATCCAATTATATATATATATTTGTGTGTGTGTGTTTGTGCGCGCGCGCTGGTTATTATGCTATGAATAAACTTTTCCATTCAAGTAATTAAAATATAAACAAAATAAACTGTGAAAAATAAAACAGAATGGTGATATATGTAAACCACTAACAATACGGTGGAAATTTTTGATCCAAAGCACAAGAGGATCATGGCATGAGTTTGGTGAATAGAAAGTGACAGGAATGTCAGTAAAGGACAGGCACAAAAGAGACATCTTTTTGTCCATGCCATGTCATTGATGTCAGTCAGTAACGATCTCCCTGACATGTTGAGTACATAGCGCAGAATGTATCAACATTGACTTCTTTTTTTATCATCGTTAGTGGGAGTCAGCTTAAACTTTCTGTAATAGAAATCAGAGCTTGTGAAAAAGGGTTGCTGTGTAACCTAAGGAATATTATAGCTACATGTTTGACCTTATTTGGATGTGGCATTTGATAACTCTCGGATAATTAATCATGGAATAGTCTATGAGATTATCCATTTGGGGCTTCTGATTTTTAAGCTTTTGTTTGTGCTTCAGTTGGTATTTCTGTTTGCTAAGAAAGACAGCAGTGGTGCCAGGGATGAATAAGGAAACGATCCCAGAGAGAAATAAAAAGCCAAAAATCTGGCATAAAGTAGAGGAACCTCTTTAAAAGGCCAAAACTGAGTGAGCACACTGAATGTATTGGCTAAACACAGCTAGCTGTCTGCAGATAAAAAGCCATCAATCTGCTACAGCCCACCCAGAGAACCTGAAATTCTCCCCAAACTTGCAGGACTATAATCCTCTAATAAAAAAATCACACCTATACCCAGAACCCTAAGCTCATTGTTTACATGGCTCTATATTTTTGTGTGTGTTTGATACATAATGATTTTATTTAAAAATGACTTGCTCCTAATAGATACAGTTTCAACTATCAGCGTTGCTTACAGTTAGAATATAGGTCCAATTTGTTTATTTAAACCATTAAAATACATCCAGCTAAAAATAAAAATTGGAATTAAAATCGCAAATCGAAACAAACATACAGGGAAGTGCCAAAGTGAACGCAATCAGTTCCAGATTTAAAACAGCCCAGTTCCCCCCACCTAGTCTCCACTACTGGGTGGTCATGGACTCATGGCTGTTACTAGTGGTTTTCTTCAGAGTCATTCCAGGCTTCTATTTTCACTCACTTAAGAATGGGAAGAAACAGAGGTATTAACTTAATTTTCTACACACTCTGCAATAAATTTCAAAATATACCCCTAAAGAAGCAGGTTCCTGAAATGGTGCTGGAGAGTCCCTAGTCAGTAAGCAAAAGTCCTCCAGCAAAAGTCTGGAGGAGTCTTGCAGTCAAGACAACAAAGGCTAAAGAGCCAATCATCCTTCAGGATGGCACTTGGAAGGGCATGTATGCTATAAAGGCTGTGATGGAAGAACACAACACCGAGTAAGTGATGCAGCTGAGTCACAGAGCAACAAATTTGATGCCAAGGACCAAGTATCAACACTACATGAGTTTCCGGGGCTTTACTCCATACCAGCGCTGGTATGGACCCATGGAAGTGGGTGGATGCACACCTCCTAGTCTGGTTTAATCCAAAAGGGAGCTGGTCTGAATGCTTCAAACAGGCTCTGCAATGGGGACATAAGCAGTGTGAATGGGGACAACTGAAAGATTTACTTCAAAAGTACCCTCTGGAGCCAAGCTGAAACACTAGTAGAGCCACACACTCCCTTCTAACCTTACTCAGGCAGTAAATTTGAGGTATTTCAACGAAACAGTCGCCGAGGATCTGCTGTTCTGACCAATGCTCCCTCAACAGCCCTCCCTGAAGTGAGCATTCATCAGTAGCGCTTCCAGAGCCAGGCCCTGTGTGACACAATACCGCTTAATGCTGTACCCAAGAATAACAGCATGTAGGATTTTGTGTAAAATTTAAAAAAAAAAAAATTATGTAGAAATACTCTGATAATGTTACATACCTAAATCATCAATTAACATAATTATTTCCTTTTTTTTTCCTATTCCCATCAAGTTACTAAATAAGCACTTAAAAATCTGCTTTATTTCCTCTCCTTTTAACTTGCATATTTCTTACCTTTCCCTTCCTCCCACAGCAACGCCAGTGGCCGCACTGGCCTGCTTCGCTTCTCAGTTCTCAGGTGCAACTGTGCCTGGTCTAACCTTCCTTAGCTGGAGGGGTCAGAGCTCGGCTCTGTGTCCCACCCAGCCAGGTGCATTGATTTGGCAAGTGCTGGCTTGAAGCATCGCTGCCTTCTCCTCCATGCACGCAACGCAAGGTTCAGGGGCTGAAAGCCCTGATCCTGCATGGGATCAAAAAGCAGCATCCAGCTGCGAGGCAGCAAGGAGCTAATCCACATCTCCTCCGAGAAAAAAAACAAAGTGGGGAAAGGAGGCGTCCTGTGGGCCAGGCTGGGCTACCGGCAGCCCCCACTGCGCGCCCAGGGCTTCCTCCACCAGGGATGGCAGCTTAGCTTTCCTAACACTAAAATATGTATTTTTAATGAGATTTAGCAGCCTTTTTCTGCAAATAATCTTTCTGACATTCTAAAATAAGTAGAGCAATAAATCACAGCGTAAGGCAGGTTTCGTGCTTAGTCTGCTGGGATCTGTGAAACTGTGGCAACATAGTCACTTAGCTAGAATTAACAAAATAACTAGTTCCTTTGCTCGCTTAATGGAAATCATTCTATATGTGGATTTATAATTTGTTTTACTGCTGAACCATAAGAGTACTCACACTTGTATACCGCTCACACTACATACAGACAGCATAGTTCACTCTTCTGAGGTAATGAAGTTACTTACAGAATAAAGTACTGTTATTCAAAATGAATAAGGTCGTTAAAATTCATCTCAATATACCTGCTGGAGCTAACTACTTTCATTTCATTTTTAAAAATCATATGCTTAAAGAGTGAGGAATGAGAAGGTGGTGTACATAAGCTCCAGTATAAAAAGAATAAACATTTTCACAGCACTCAGGCAAACCTACTTTAAGCAGAGGTCAAACAATTACCAATATAAATATTTACTGCAGTGTAGTGCCATGCAGAGCTGAAAGATAGCTTTAATGCACTGAATACTCAAGGGAAGTCATGCAGGCCTTGCACCCATGTGAAAAGAGAGTGTGCAAAAATTGCATGTTTTGCCAGCTCGGGGAAGCATTTTGCTTTATAGGTCACAATTACTCCTTAATAAGTACATGGCAGTTATCATGTATGCAGAACAAATGCATGCCTAGCAAATTACATTATAATTGCACTTGAGACAGCCATGTAACTTCAAATGTAATTGTCATGTTTTGTGCAATTTTTACATTTATTGATACAGTATCTTAGAAGAAATGCACCACTAAACTATTACAATTCATAAAGGGAAATTATTTTTGCATAACGTGTACCAGAAAATAGTTTCATGGGGATCATTTTCCATATCTGTACATGGCTTTTTGATATGCCTATCACACACATTTCATGTGTAACAGTGCACAAATGCAGACAAGCTCAGGCGTGAGCATATGGAGCACTGGAGCCTGCTGTGCAGATAAGGACCATGCACCCTATGACCCCCACTCTCTCTTCATCCTTAATCCAGGAACTTTCCACCTTTCCTCTGGGGGAAAAAAAACACATTTACATTTTATACTAAGACACAGATGCAAGCAGGCAAACATGCCACTCTCCATGTAGGACAAAACTGCTGACTGCTAGGACTAGGAGGATGCACACGTGGAAACACCACTCTAGGCTTACCCAGTTTCTCGTGCTTTGTTTTTCATAGGCATCTGCTGTTGGGAAACAGGAAACTGTGCTCGATGGACTCTCACCCACTCAGAGGAACTCTAACGCAATTGAATTAAGTACGTCGCAAGCACACATCAGTTAGCAGATGTACATTTAAACCCACAGCTCTCTCACGAGCCACATTAAAGTGCTTCACAGTCACACATAGCTTATAGCCTTCTTTGCTTTCAACTGTCAGCATTGTTCTGTTTAATGACTTCTGCAGTTTTATATGCCCCTTGCAAATTAATTATTTCTCTTTCTGCGTAAAATATAGTTAATCAAAAAAGACAAAGAAAAAGAAAGAAGAAAGAATTTTGAGGGAAATAAAATGTACTATTCTCTTTTGAGACCTGAAATGGATGATAGTGGTGGTCTTTTCCCTTTGATTCAACAAGGCCAGGATTTTATGTGCCCTATTTCTGCTCCACAGTCTGAGGATAGTAACAGTGTTTCTGTGCATCTTTGACACCACACAAAATACAGTGTATCTCTGATCATATCTGAGACTATAAGGTGCTGTTATGCTAAACAAGAATATAATGAATGATTTAAAAAATAATCAGTAAATGAAGCTCAACCAGTTCTTCTGGTTGAGCTCTCAGATGCAGTTAACATTCATTATGAATTTATCCCCTTTTTCTTTCTGGAATAGTTTAAGAGCTGAATTGAATTGCCTCAAAACTAACAGAAGCCCTAATTTACGAATTTTTTAAAAATCAAGAGAAGTGTATTCTTCTTTGTATTCATGTTTCATTTTAAACATGCTTAAACACATATTTGAAATGGTATGTGTTAAAACACTTTTCTGAACTGAAGTTTCTCTGATTTATGTTAACCGTTTTCCAGAAAGCCCATTCCCTTCTCTCCGTCTCATTATTCATAAACCATGTGATCTTGTTTCTGGTATCAATGGATTAATTTCATAATGTCTGAAACAGAACAGTTACAGCTGAGGCCCCAATCCTGCATAGGCTAGCACATGTGCATAAATCAAATATCCTCTGAGGTGCAGGGGTTGCTGTGTACAGAATTCTCATAAATGTAAAATCTGGAGCATTTGAAAACTGAGTAGTTTTTTGTTTTTCCAGTTTGATCTTCCTAGTGCTATGGGCCTCAGCTATTTGTTTTGCTGTAGGGCTATTATTGATTTAACAACAAGCCTAAGAAACTGAGTATGTCACATTTATAGACCAAAATTCTAAATTTGCAATATAATATAATATAATATGCATCAGTGAAAGTATAAACAAAATCATGTATATTTACTGCATTACAAAATGAATCTTAATCTGTATAAAAAACAAGCAATACCAGTACTTATAAATGAACAACTCTTTTCCTACTGTGAGATACTGCTTTGGTTAATTTTAATTTTGCAAAACTTAGAACTGTGTAGGCTGAAATTTTCCGTGGCACACATCTAGCTAAGGCTTGGAATTTATTGAAAGGTTTTGGTTAAACCTATTTTGATATTGTGACCAAGGAAAACCATATCTTGTCCACATTAACACCACCACCCACACCTTATAGTTCTGCTGGGAACCTGCTTTGTTGAAGCAGGGGCTGGAAATCTGATAGCCCAAAGAAATGCTGTTTGGCATCTTTCTGAAAATTTACCATAATGTGACTGAATTTCTGAAATAGTCAAGTTCATGTATGCTTGAGGTTTAAGGTCTATCTGTCAACATTTTGGAAGATTAGGATCTGCCAACCAGCCTTTACTTGTTCCGCCTCCAGAACGGCTGATGGTGTTTCATCCCCTTGCAGCTTTTGGTATGTGGCTGGACAACGCACATGACTTGCCTAGGAGGCAGGCTGCAGCCCAAGGCTACTGCCTTTCCCTGTACCTTGCACTTTCTGGAAAGCCAAATGTGGAGGCTTATTCTCTGACAAGAAAAAAATCTTTTTTTCTTCTGTAATAAAAATGTATATTTTAGGTAAACACAAGCAAAAAATGTTTTTACAGAATGCCAAGATTAAGGTTAAAAAATATGAAATGCGTTACTAATATAATGTAAAGACTGCTGGGCAGACCTTTTAAATTATTTTTTAAATAATCCTGCTTTCTCCACATAATTTCACTATATAGAACTTAGGATTTAATACTAACTTCTGATTTTGCTTACAGTTATTTTATATCCATTTATTCTTGTGATAAACCTGTTCTTTAGCTTAGCTATTTTAAAGCTGCTTTCTTTATTTGCTGTTTATTCTAATTTGGCAGAAATCAAAACCCCTCTCAATCTTTAGTTTGCTGAACTAAAGCAACCAATGTTTTCTAGCCTCTTTGCATTCATTAGGTTTCTCCATTCCCTTGGAGAGTAACTCTTCTCTATACCTACACTAGTTTGAATTCATCTTTCCTGAAAATGAATGATTAGTGTGCCAGGGTCACTAGTATCTTAGCAAGGCTTTGTATAATGGTATTAATGGTTTCCACAACCTTTACTGAAAGAATCTAAATTGATCTTAGAATCATGATGACTTTCTGAAATTATGAAATTTATGATGTGTTGTGGCTGCATCACCCTGATGGATTATCATCTTCCCATGACAGACTTTTATATCCAGATTACTCTCTCTGCCATTGCCATTTCTAATCAAGGAACTCTTATCCCACAATAAACTGATTACTGTAGCCCGTAAAAGCTTGGACTTGCACTCTGTAGTTCCTTAACCCGTTTCTCCTGCTCCATTCACAAGACAATCCTGTTCTTCCTGTGTGTAATCCCAATCCTCCTCAACATTAGCAATGCCTCTTTGTGTTATCAGCAGATTTCCTCAATACTCTTCCAAATCATCAATGAAAGTAGACAATAAAAACATCAAGATCAATCCTTGCACAACTTCACTACTCACTTCCCTCCAGGCCAAACCTCCCCTTTTCAGCATACCCTGTAGCTGGTCTCTCTGACCCCATTTCTCCCAACGTCACAAGCATTATGCCAATCCCCATCTTCTCCAGTTTAATTAATAATTTCCCATGCTGCACCATATCAAATACTTAACTGACCTCTCAATACTTCTCTTTTCTAGAGAATCATTTATCTTACACAATACAGCTATTGAGTTAGTCAGCCACCATACACCTTTTGTAATCTAAGAGTACTTTTGCCCCGTATACCATTCATTTCCATTTGTATATGATATTGCCTGAACTGATGTGCCCTAAAGTAATTTCCTTTTAGTGTTCTGACCTAATATTGTTTGGAAAACTTGTTGTTAATATGAATAGTCCCAAAAATACCAGTGATATCAACTGTCCCTTCAGTATATCAGAAGTTTAGCCCTCTAAGTGACAACATAGAAGGTCCTTTCTTGGCTTCACTGACTTGTCTTGCCTTCTCCCTGCAGGAGCCTATTTCCAGCAGAGGCCTCTTGCTGACATTATGAAGTCCAAAGTGCAGCGCACAAACAGAAGAGTCCGTACAATGGGATACCTGTGACATCTGTTATATTTTGCAGCACAGTAAGAGCCATATTTTATTTTACACATTACCTTGGGCAACAAATAGCGCAGAGTGTGGGGGAATGGTCTCTCTCAAACTCTTTTGCCTTGAATGGAAAGTGAAGTTGCTGCATCCTTCAAACGACAGTGCTCACTTCTCTCCTCAGGCCCACAGTTAATGTTAAAGCTTAATTTCATGCTCATTTGCCTCGGAATGGCATCTGAGACTTGTGACATTCTTTTTAAGGCTTAAAATCTAGGTACCTCGTACTAGAGTAAGAAGAAGTGTTTTCTTATTCCTCCCTGTGATTCTCCTCAAAACAAGGGAGTGAATAAAAGCCTCAAAAGATCACCTCTCAAATTTAATTGCTGTACTTAACAAAATGGTCCTTAATAGAAAATATAGTTCTGTGTGAGTAAAACAGTCAGTCATGTTTGCATGCTACTGAAGTCTGCCAGAACATGCATTCAGTAATCTGTCCTGGCCTGGATACGTTCTCCTGTAGACTTTCAGGGACAATTCTGGTCTGAATGGCCAGTATTAAAATAATTTTGGGATTAGTCATTAAAAAACAAAATCAATCTGATTCCATTTAAAGTTTTAAACTGAAGGATTTGCAGAAAGCCTGCAAAGTGACTGGAGAAGACTACTAAATCCAGGCCCCAGAAATCTTGGACAAGAAATAGATGAGATACTTCTGAACTGATGAACTCCCAGGGCTAAAACACCCCCATGCTCCTGCAGTAAAGGAGCAAAAGCCAAAACGCACATGGCACAGGAAGAGCCAGGCAGGCTCAAGGTCACTGCTACTGTCAAGCGGAGCGCCTGTCATGTGGATTGACCAGATGATACTAGGTGTCGGACCTTGCTCTGTACTACAGAAGGCAAAAGCAAAACAAAACACTCCCTAGAGAATACCTCAGATTATGTAGTCTCATAAAGCATTGACTCACATTAGAAAGTTGCCCACATTCAAGTAGTAAAAGAACATGTAGGCATGAACTGGCTGGTATCTAATTTAGTACCTAAGGGTTTGTATTGCATGCAAAACCCATGTGGGGAGGAGGAGAGCAGTACTCCTCTCCAAAGCTACACCCATTTCCAGTTTCCCCCGGCTGTTTTTCTAAAGAGACTTGTATGAGTTCTGCTGTTCCTAAGTCTAAATCTTCCTTCAGTAGATGTTTTCATGACTAAATCCTCAGACATTGCAATCAAAAATAAAGATAAAATAAGCATATGCATAGGATCCTAACGCCCAGAGACCTGTGAGGGCTTCTCAATCTCAGCATTTGCCTAGCCAACAACCAAAAGGTTATCGCTTTCTATGCTTTCTATGCTCTGGGAAAAAAAGGAAAAAGTGAAACTATGAAAGGAATATAAAAGATGCTGCGAGGCATGCCTGAGTCAGCAAGTCAAGAAGTCTTGAAAATCAGAAGAACCTAAAAATCTCATCCTGACCCCACCAGAGAAGAACTGGCTCCCCAGTGGGGAACCGAATGGTTGGGAGTTGTGGTTCTCCTTTACTCTTGTGGTTGATTCCCTTTTGGTTAATGAACCTCTGGTGACCTGCCCTTCTTCCTCAGGCATACAGCTTCGCAGAGTCACCTGGGCAGGGACCGGCACTACTCTCCTAAACATCCTCCTGTTATGGCCTCAAAATGGGATGCTGCTTATGTGCTTCCTCCTTCTCTGCTTTGATCAGCAGTAAAAGTGTTAACAGTATCAGCACTGAAATCACATCAACGGGCAGCAAAGATAGCGCTGGAGATAAAAAAGGCACATTCTAACCCTCCCTAATGATAAAAGCAGGCATCACTGAAAAGAAGTTTCAGACTTTTTCACCCAGCCTTTTAGAGCTTCCTTTAAAATCCTGAGGACTACAGCCTGTTTGGGGGTTGATTTTTTTTTCTTTTTTATGAACAAAAATTCAGAGTCTTAAAATTAGGATGGAAGTCACAAAAAAGCATCCAGTTGAGGCCCAGAGGCCAGTACTATCCAGAATGATCAGCTGGGCCTCCGCAGGTTACTGTGGCCATCGAACATAAGTGCATAATAAAAAAATGGCCCTGTTAAAAAATTATTATTGGCATTAGCACATTGCAGTTTAAAGTTTATGTTAAATGTTTCCGTTATTCTTCAGGTCATTGGAAAAGAAAACTTTTAAACTCCATGAGCCAGATGGCTATTCACAAGGAGCAGAGCAGCTGGCACCTCTCCAGCCTGTCTGCCCGCCACCCAGCAGGATGAGCACTGCCAGCCCCAGCCCTCCGATGCTCGTTTTGCTGCCACCGCCAGACCTGGGGAGCTGGGGGTGTTGGGCTGGGATGTCCTTATGTCTGGATTTAAGGTTGCTTCATAAACTGAACGTCTGGTTCTGCTGCATTGATCAACCACAACAGACACTTGTGGAGGTGAACAAGTGTGTGCTGACTGCATTTTTCTCAGAGCAAAGCAGAGGTATAGGTGAGAGTTTGCTATACGGAAGCAACAAACATGGTTATTTTTTCTGCAGACACAGCCTAGCTATTTTCTAGCTAGCCCTGGTGTCACTAACGGCACCAGTGTAATCTACTCAACCTAACCATGCAAGAGTTTCGGAGTAGCCATTTGCAACTTGCACTAAACCCTGCGCAGTCTACTTGTGGATCAAGACCTGAGCTGGTAACACTAGTTCAAATGCACCCCTAGCCCCATGTTGCAATGCAGACAATGACTGAACGCACTCAATCTGAAGGATAAAACATTACAGCAGGTAGGCATGCCATACATACATTAGTATCTTCTGCATTAAACTGGAATTAGCGTGTTTAACCAAACATACATAGTGAACTATTTAGATATTCAACTGCTGAAAGTAAAGTTCAGATTTAGCAAGTAAACCAGGTAAGGCTGTAGCTTTACCTCCCAAGAACAAAAGCTGCTTTAGCTGGAAGCTTTAAAATGACTATTGTTGTCTTATTTGCCTAATTATATGTGCACACATTTTGCAATGTATTAATCAATTCAGATAATCCTGTCTCCAGCCTCAGTGACAGAGAAGAGTGACTGGCGTAGAGAGATCCTTGCTGAAAAGATTTTAGCATTATGTCCACCAACGTGTGTGAGGCCCTGGGGAAGGGTCTTCCAAATTGCTACAGTATGATGAGGAGTAAGAAGAAGCATGAGCACCAGAGCCTTAAAAGGCAGGCCAGATCAGAAAGAAGGATTATGCTTTTGTGCAAAATATTGGCATGCCTCCAGTCATTATTTATATTAGATTATAAAATATTGTTCTCAATCTAAGAACAACTGCTAACGAGCTTTTCAAACAAAGATCTTATTTGTTAATGTTGCATACAGCAATGCAAACAGAGTGTTGGATTAAGTATTAGAGATCAACAAAAATGCTTTAAAAAGTGAGAATCTAAGTTAGAATAAAAAGTCAGAGGGAGTTCCAATCTATTTGAAAATAACATGTGCAAAGAAAGATGCTAATCTGAAGGGGTAAATCATTGCCGGCAATATTTGCTCAGCTCCATTAAACTCATACATTTAACAGTTGAGAATTATTAGACTTATATTCTGCTCCACGTCAATGATAAGACACTGCAGGTCTTGCACTTTTAAGGCCATAATCAGCATCAGAGCCTGTGAGATTCTTTTCTCTTTATTTCTCTTTTTGTCAATCACTTGTACAGGCAACTTCATTACTTCTGAGAATTTGTTTACAATTCGCTTATAGACACATTAACGTGTGACGATTGCTACGCTCTTTATTATTAAAACACCTTTTGTTAGAAAGAGCAGATTTAGAGATTATATATAAGCAAAACATGTAAGATGCACAAGCACATAAGTTATGTAGGGATCGTTACTGTATTAGCCTTTATCTAACAGCAAAGTGGCCTTATTAAGTGAAACAAAAAAATGACACAACTGAGACTATCACTTCATTTCAAAAAACTGGAAAATACATTTATTTTAAACTGGCTGTTAAATTTTACGCCAGAGGAATACTGGAGGCCTTCGGAGGTTATTTGGTTGGTTTGCTGCTGTATATATATCTGTACATCCCACTGTCTAAAGTGTGAGCCATAAAGCTAAGAACAGAATTCAATCCTGATGTTTTAAGGCTATTGTTTAAAGCTCAGATTATACAGATTGTGCTTGATTATTTGGAAGCGTCGATAGCAAATCCACTACATGACTTGATGGATACTAAATAGGCAAAACTAAGCCCTCATCCAAAATAAGTCATACTTTAAAAAAAAAGAAATTACACTAGATAACTAACTTGTGTTCTACTTCAGAATATTAGAAACCAGAGAGCAAATACAGCATTTTAAAGAATCTAAATCCATATGTGGAAGAAAATAGATCAAATGAAAAACATTTACAAAAATGCTTTTTCAGTCTTCTCATTTTCTTCCTAAGTGGCACAAAGTAATAACAAAAAAGCCACGCGCAGAAATTAAATGTAATTTCAGCAGCTAGGACAGTTTACAAATCACTTCTGTAGCCCTGAAGCAGGATAAAAGGAAATAAATATACTTCATGGTTAGTAACCTATTAACTGACACCAACTGTTGCAGCTGCGAATAAAACAAATGAATGATAAGATTAGATATGTTGATTGCACCTGGCCATCTGTAGATTGCTACTTACCATAAGAATCACATGCTTTATACTAGACACTGTGATAAATGCAGAGTAACTGGGTTTTTTTTTCCCTTTGGTTAATAATAGAGGAAATAATAAAGAAAAACTTGCATGCAGCTGATTTGTTTTTCTAGTTAGCACAAAGTTTGCCCTGGTATTTTCCTGCTTTACAAGAGGGAAGGACTAAGTCGAATAAACACGGCTCTATCTCAGCAGTACATACTGAAGAACTCATCTAAATATGTTCGTTTCAGATAAAGAGAGTGACAATAAGCACCTCATAATGAAATTGCCTTCAGGACTGTGAAGCCCTTGCCAGCCTTTCTGCAATTTTAAATAGAAATGCAAAAGAAATATAAGTTGACCTATCCACAGCTACAGTGGTCACTTTTTTTGCCTTCAAGGGAATCATTAACAGCTCCTGAGTAACAGCCCCCTTTATTTTCAGACCCCAACAACCACAGAATCAGAAGACTCTTCCAAACCAGAAGTGACATGTCGCCTGCTCCATTTGCCCGATGCCTGGGCTACCTGTGAGCGGGCGCAGGGTTGTCAAAAAACGTCAGAGATTGAAGGTCACCCTGAAGAGCAGCAGGTCCTGCAGCACAGGCCAGCACCTGCACAGTTTCCAACAGCACACCTCCACAGGGGCTTTCCCTTTACTGGCTTGCAAGGGCTTGGGAGAGGGCAGGGAACAAATCCCTTAAAAAAGCAGCAGCTGCCTCTGCCGAGGTCTCCATCTCGCAGAGGTGGCAGCCGAGCTGCTCATTGAAGACAAACCCATCCCGGTCAGAAGGAGCCAGATGAACCTGGTGAGGTTTGGGAAGGTCCCAGCGACTGGTCTGCGGAGGAGGTGACCTCCACCGGAGGAGATGAGCAGGGGGTGACTAACCACTTTTTCTTGTTCGACACAGCTTCGGTACCCTCACTGCGCCCGGAAGGAAGGATTGTTTCCCTTCTTTATCTGGAGAAGATGTAACGCAGCCCTCCTGCCCGAGAGACATCTGAAGGATCGCCAGAACTAGGCAGACCTTCCAAACCTGTAACCTGGCTGCACGCTCGCAGGTAGAATTGAACAATTGAAGACCCAAATGAAAAATAAGAAGCTTTCTGAATATAATCATTGGATTTTTTTTTTTAATTCAAGCTAGATACTATACTGTACTGCATTAACTAAATTGGAAAAACTGCTGTACCATCTTGCTGAAAATATACCTGTATACTAATAATTTATCCTTGTTACAAAATGACAGTAGCATTCAGTCATGCAAGGCTTATTTAAGTATTTCCATTCCACATGCAGCCACAGTTTAAATATGCGTGCAATATTACAGTCCTCATTAAATAATGAATTTCACTACTGATGTCAATATATGCTTAATATAGTGCTGTTGCCTTATACTCCAAAACAAGAACCATTACAGGCAAAAAAATTGTAAATATAAACAAATGTCTGAGTTGAACACTCACCATGTCTGACAGATAGCTGGATGTCATAAATCCTTTCATGGCTAGATTTGCATAGAAATCTGTGAACAATCCAAACAGCAGTTAAACATCAGTTCTGCTCCCCTAATTTGCAATAGTTTCACCATTACATGTATAGCTTTTTCCAAAAAGCAGCGCTAAGCCCCTTTCATTCTACCATCAAGCTCTGTTACTGAACATACATATGAAGTGTATAAGTTTACAAAATATGTCAGCATATATCTGCAAATTAACAGCACAGCTTCTTCCACTTATAGCAGTAAAGATGCTTTTTCATTTCTGGGATAAGAAAATGGAAAAAAAAATAGATTGCTTGGCAGAGTTTAAAGGGTGGATGATTTTTATCTTCATGAGTAGGTGGGCAATATACCTGCTCACTTGCTACACGTGATTCTGAAGATGAAATCAATAAACTTCGCATAGGTAAATTTTTGCAAGATTGGACCGAAAGCGAATTATATGCTGAGTGAATTTTATTTCAATTTCCTTTGCCTGATTAAAAAGAAATTAGTGCAGAAGTTATATTAGAGCACCACGGAGGTTGTGAGCAGGGAAGCAGAAAATTCAAGATGTGAAAAGTTCTGGGCCGCTGAAGCTATGCAAAGGAGCCGAATATCTCCTGCTGCCTGCCTTGCTGAGAGCTCCTCCAGAGAGGGGAGCTGCAAGCAGAGCTCTGCCTAACTGAGAGGTGGGGTGCGAGTCTGGGAATAGGGCAGCACATATCTGCGCTACAATCCATTCCCAGTTGCTACATAAATACCTTGGAGAACTGGAACCACCCTGGAATCAGAGCCAATGGGACACAGAAATCAAGGAATAAAACCGGGGCATCTACTATTGCTTCTGGTACCTAGGCTAGCTCATTTGCAGCTAGCTCAGGTGTTTCTACACTCCACCACCATCTGCAGCGTAGATCTCTCCCATAAAGCAAGTGTCTCTTGTGTCTATTTATAGAGGAATTTGACATTTTTCCATCTTTTTAGCTCTATTACTGAAATATTATTATTTTCCCCAGTGGTCTCACTACTTATGTCTGCCAGCGAAATTTTTTTCTCCTTATATAAATACAGGAAGAGAAAATCATACACAAAATTTTGCAGCACAATGCTTGTATTATATGCCTGTGCTCATGTGAGTGATATGCTGTGGCCCCTCAGAGTTGTTTCCTGACAAAGTCATAGAAACCAAGGACGAGCATGTCTTACGCTCTAAGGGTAAGTCACAAGATGCACAAGATTTAGAAGATACGTTCAGTGTTATATCTCGTGTACTTCCACCTCTTGGAGAACGTTTACCCCGGGAACCACATCACTCCTGTAGCAGCTGTGAGCAAGGTGTGAGGAGGTGCTCTATGTCCCTGACAAACAGCTCATGCTGTACTTCCCCCGACTGTTGGAGCCCACGTGTTGGCATTACTGCCAAAACATGGACCACTCCCACCCTGTGTCTCCTCTCCCCCTTCCTCCCTTTTGTCATTGCACGTCAGCGTTTGCATAACCATGCTGTAAAGCGAATCAGGAAACTGATAGGAGCTAAAGAAAAAAAGAAAGTTATTTGCCTGTTTGGTGTTCATTCGGCGATCATTTCCCCGGCGCAGTCTATTACGCAGCTGCACAAATACTGATTTACGCACAGAGGCGAGGGTGGCAGGAGGGCAGCAGCAACCAAAGGCGGGCAGGAGCAGCGCAGGTCTCACCCTCCAGTTCGTGTATTCAGCTTTGAATAAAGAAGCACAGAGAATAAGAGTGTGAGGAAAACCATAAGATCTGCACTTAGAAGAAAACGAGTGCCTCAAAACCCCTACACTGGGGCACTTGTGGGCAGCAGCTGTTTATTGCAGCCCTGAGGTGAAAGCAGCGGGAGCGGAGCGTGGGTATGTTACAGCAGTGTCCACCCACGGGCACCACTTCCTCCTTTTAGCAGTCTCTCTCCTCAGAGACCAGTTTCCCAGAACGAGCGTGTGAAGATGGCTGCCTTTTGGTGGAAAGAGGTGCAACAAAGTCTGAGCAAAGTTGGTCTAAATGCGAACTTTTTGTGTTATCTGCGTGGCGCTTTGGTTGTAAAGCCATTTTAGAGCATCTTGTTTGGTACCTAACCGCATAACTCCTTCACAGGGCTGGGAAGACTATTAGCTGAGTGAAGCTGTCCCACAGCCAGGCATTAAAATACTTTCCCCTGCCCCCTTTTGAATGGAGGGGGAATAAGAACAGGCTAACTGTATGTGCATAGTCTTTCCTGAATACAGGAATATTCTCTGATATAGCAGCAAGGCGTGTACCTTAGATTTGATTTCTAAGGCAGCTCAGACAAACCAAACTAAAGAGTAGTAGTTTAGTAGTTGCAGTAGTTTAAAAGATAATGCAAGTGCTTTGATTATCAGGAGCACAATACTTTTCACATTTTCCAACTACCATTTTTATAATCCACAAAATACGCTATACATTGGCATCCTATTGTATAAATCAATAATTGCATAAAGCAGAATCAACTGTTTAGTGATTTTAATTCATTGCTGATACCTAGTCAAGACACCAGGCTACTTCTATTGGTGAAAGGCAATATGCAAATATTGGAGAAATGAGGTTCTAAGTTTTGCAATAATATATGGAAAATGCTTGATTTTTTGAATCCTAACCAATGTATAGTATTCTAGCTTCCTGATGTTCCATCCGGATAATTTGTTATTTCTGATAGAAATTAATCACTTAAATGTAGACTTTATAAACCAATGCAAATTCAGACATCCTGCCTTACTTAAGCACACCTGCACATTAAGATTAATCATATACACACTTCTTGAATGTGACAGATGGATCAATATTATAAAGAAGAATAGTGTAGAATGCTACTATTTTTTTCTGATATTCTGTTTGAAAAACCACAATTCTAAGAGAAAAAGCTTTCGCAAATATATTTATTTTTTGAAATAAATATTCATATTTAATATTAAACCAGCCATCTTATTCTGCACAGGTAGCACAGTATTCTGCACAGCAGCATAAGCAAGGTAGATAGCGGAGATTATAGAATAAATAAATCCTGGCAAGTACAGAATGGTATTATTTGAACAATCTTTTCAGAAAAGATACAAAAAAACCCATCTACTTACTAATTGTACCACCACCACCATCATTAAGAGCGATTATATGGAAGGAAACCATGAAGAAAGCCAGATTGTTGTTTTTGTTCTGAGCACAAAGGGAAAAAATGATAACAAAATGACTTTTTTCTCTCATTCGTTTTAGACTAAAATGTATTTTGCCTCTCCCCACCAAAACCTGCTGCTGTTCTTTTTAACTGCATCAGAAACACCAAATCAGAACAATTAAGGGAAGTAAAATTTGTTTCACAGAAATTAATCCGTCACTTCTGAAGACCACAGGGCTGAATAACGGGGCTTGAATTTCTGACCACGGAAGTAATTTCATGACACCGGTTACTAAAAGCTGTATAAAGTAGATACGTCAGAAAATGATAGGCCAGTCTTAAAACCAATCTTAATGCCACGATATGGCTATTTTTAGTCACAGTTATTTCCATGCTTCAGGAGATCCTGAAGTTCAAGTCATCTAAAATAATCAGAGTTATTAACTATACCATTTTGTTTTGGCCAGAAAATGGTTTGTCTTTGGCAACAGGCTCTTCTGCTGGAGGCTCTGGGGAATGCCTCCAGCAAGCTGACGTGGTAACACTGCCTCTGGCTTGGTGGTACTTCTCTTCTTCTGGTGAGTCAAAAACCATATGTATATTCCAAAGGGTCTAAACCTCTGTCCATCCTATCTTAGAGTACACGGACAACCCAAGCTATCTGGAGGTTGGTGAAGAAATTTTGTTTACAGAGGGTGGGAGCCTGTGGATCATCATCCATGAATAACCTGAAGCATTTATCAGAAAAGAAAATTGTCACAACTAAATCCTAGGCAGGACTCTTTAAAATGTAGTTACCTTAAATATATCACTAAAGAAATAGTCTTGCGAGAAACAGGTTAACAAATACTAAGATGCTTAAATTTTAGAAAAAAACTTTTTTCTTTGTGCACAGCAGCTACCATATGCTGCCTTTCCAGAAATACTAAGTATGAACAGTCTTTTGTTTAACATAAGAAGCAGTTCATACACTGAATTAAATGGCAGCCAACATTGCACTAAATGTTCTTAAAAAAAAATCAAATTTAATTCAACGTGCCGTGATTTCATAGCTCCATCTTATCAATGATGCTCAAGTCTAGGTGACATCATTATATCGTGGAAGTGGGTGGAAATATTACTTCATTCTTGCTACTACGTGGGTTTCCTCTGAACTATCTTCTTGCAGCTGTTCGCTTGCTTGTCGAGACAACAGGAAAAGATGAGCTGAAGGTTAAGCGAATGAGAGTGATGAGCATGTAGAAGAAGACAGGGAAGGAGAGGTTGCGAAGTAAAGAAGAGTGCAAAGGAGAGGGAGGGAGCAGAAGGGACAGACGAGGGGACCGTGTTCAAAAAGCCCAGCAGCTCAGAGCAGCCCAGCATGTCTTCCCTAATCTCACTGGAGGGAGAAAGTCACCCCCCCTCTCAAAGGGCTGGTGGCGATGCTCAGCTGCTCTTACCCTCCACTGGCTCTCATCTACCTCTTCATGGCATAGCCTTAATAGCAACTTCAGCTCATGAATATGCAATCTACTAATACATATTCAGCAGACCGGTAATTCTTCTTCAGCCTTATGGTTATGTTGCTTTTCTCTTTGCAGAAAAAAAAATCTGCCAAAATGGCTTTAAAAATAAAGTAGAACCTTTCTATCTAGGAAGCCATTTTAAAAATATTTAAGACTTCTTATATGACTGGATAGGTGTTGCAATTGTTTCCTCTGTAAATACAATGTTTCTTCCAAGTTTATGTTTTTTAATAGAGCTTTTGCATTCATGTTATTCTTAGAGAACAAGTTTAAACTCAGAAAGTCACCAAAGTGGATAAAAGATAGAAGATATTGCCATATTTTCTCATTAAAAAATGTCTAAAGAGGTGTTTCAGCCTTCCTAAACGAAATATTTCCATGTAAGTGATTAATATCTGAATTAGTATAAATATGTATATGTAAATGGCTTCTTACCTACTAATTGTATTAAATGACCTAGAAACACCTCATCATTCTCATAATGAGTACTGGGTACCTATATGAAAGCTTGTATTTAAGTAAAAAGTGAGTGAATGTACAGCTTTGAAGGAAACTGTACTGTACCATTTCAGGCCAAAGATTTTTCACTCTTAAGCATAAGTAAATAATGTCTTGTATAAAACATTTCCCAGTAATAAAAGCTCTTCTTGAGAGTTCAAAGTGTTTATGAATC